GCAGACAGCAGTCCCCACCCTCGGGGGACTGAGCGTGAACCAGGGAGGGAGTGACAACCAAGACAAAGAAGTGACATGACAGTATGTTACACGAGGGTGAGTGTTCAAAAGAAAGTTCAGCAGGAAGCAAAGTAAATGAGGGAACAAGCCGTGTGACTGTGGGGAAGAGTATTTGAAGAAGAGGGAGCAGCCGGGGCCGAGGCCCTGAGGCGGAAACACGGCCTGTGTTTCCCTGAGGGACGGTGTCCCCAGCTCAGGGGACGGCAGGAGGCCAGTGGGCTGCAGACTCGTCCAGGAGGGAGGGGGACGCCACACTGAGGTGGGAGAGGTGGCGGGAGCTCAGGGGGGTGACACACACATGAGGACCTGGGGTCTTCCCCTCGGGGAGGTGGGGATCCCTGGGTGCTGAGCAAAGGAAGGCTCTGGACTGACTTAGGTTTTTTAAGGACGAGCCTGGGCAGCATGGGGGCAAACGCAGGAGGTAGGATGAGAGGGAAGGAGGAGTCGAGCATGGCACCCAGGCTTCTGGTCTGAGAGGTAACGATGCTGCCAGCGAGTCCACTGCAGACTCGTCCTTGCCTGCGAGACCAGCTCCAGCTTTCTGGCTTTCCTCTGCCACCGTCTCCGTTCCCCGGGCAGCCCCTGGCACGAGGGGAAACAACACGACGGCAGCCAGATCCCCACGGGTCCCCACCAGCTCCGACTGCATCTGCACCTGCCCAGCAAAGGCCCCGGGCACTTCACCACCCAGCCAGCAAAGGCCCAATGCCTCAGCAGCAAATGCAATGGAGGGGCCACCGCAGGCACGAAAAGGCTGCGCAGAGAGGAACAGAGGCTGCTGCCCACTGCGAGAACGGTGGCAGCCAGGCCACAGGCGCTGGGACCAACGGGGGTTAAGCTCAAGCAGCTATGGGAACACAAAAGTCTCCCTCAGCCCCAAGGCAAGGAAGACTTCCGGGGGAGGCACAATGGAGCTGGGTGTTTAAGAATGACTACAGGTGCACCAGGGGATAAGAGACATTTGAGCACAGGTGTGAAAGTTGGGATGTTGGGAAGTCTGCTGGGGCCACCGGGAGAAGAGGGCATGGGGCCCAGGTTTCGAAGGGCCTTGAACGGCACAGCAGGAGGGCGAGCATGTGGGCACGGGAAGGCCACTGGGTGTTTCTGAGCTGGGGAGGCCTGGGACTGGGACTGGGGACAGGGGTCGTCACTTGCCTGCCCAGAAAAGATGCTCACTCATCTGAGGAGGAGGTGATGTCAGGCTGAGATCTGAGAGGCGACCTGAGAGCGATGTTTACAGGTCAAGTGTGTCCAAGGAGAGGACAGGGATGGTGACCAAATTCCGTCCTCAGGGCCACTGAGGACCTTTACACCAAAAGAAAAGATAATCAAGAAGACAACTGATGACACCCCCCTCCACTTCCCTTTTGAGCACAAATCCCAGCTCCCCCACTGACGAGCTGAGGGACCCTGGGCCAGTTAGTCAGCATCTCTGGGCTTCAGTTTACTCTTCAGTAGGAAAAAGACATACTGGGTTGCAGGTGGCGGAAAACCCAACTCAAACTATCTTAAGCCATAGTGGAGATTAATGGACTTGCAAAATGCAAGATTTCAGAAGTAGGACTGCCTTCAGGTGAGACCCATCAACTCAAAAGTTGCCAAGGACCCGGGTTTTCCTTTTCCTTCCTTCAACTTTGTCCTCCACAAGGCCCAGCTTTCTTCTGTGGCTGATTTGCCTCATGGTCCCACAAGAGCTGCCCTAGCTCCTGGGTCTACAGCCTTGCTAGTTCCTTGAGAAGGAATCTTTCTCCCAGCAAAATCCTGATAGTCCTTCTGATTGGACCAACCCAGGTCATGTGCCCATCCCTAAGCCAATCACAGAGTCTAGGGGCGGGGTATGCACAGACTGTCTTGGCCCAGGTCACCTGCTCCACCCCCTGGAGCCAGGACACAGAGTCAGCTTCCCTTGGAAGGACAGGACTGTGGAGAGGGCAGAGGAAGTGGATGCTGGGAGGCATCCACCCATGACCCTCAAGGGCCACCAACCCCTTGGGCAGGGTCATTGAGGGGACTAAAAATAGCATGAGTGAAGCACGAAGTTGGTGTTCCTTGAAAGGCAGTTTTATCTTGTTGTTACATATAAAAGGCCATCATGAGATGGAGGAATGAGATTTAATTTGTGGTCCCAAAGAATAAAACTAGTGTCCATAAATGGAAATCCCAGATAGTTGGGTTTCGATTCGATCTAAGAAGAACTTTCTAACTGACATGGTCCTCAGCAAGCCTCCCACCACTGGGGGAAAACAAGAAAGGATTACGGTCCCAGCTCAGGGCGGCTCTGGAAGGAGGTGAGAGCAGATGCCTCTGAGGCCAGAGGGATTCCAACATCCTCCTCTGAGGGTGGGCGATGAAGCACAACCAGGGAAATGAGGTCATTATCACTTAAAAAAGAAAAAATTCAACCAAGGCATCAGAAAAGAGAATTAAGAGCTTAAAACTCGCTGATCCTCTGACAATCTGGTCCCGAGGGTGGGGATGGAGCGGACTGGACACAGGCACATCCAGGAACGAGTGCTCGGAGGGGGTCCCCAGAAGTTCAGGGCTGGGCGGGGCCTCCACAGACGCTCTGGGCCCCAGGGGGAAGCGAGGGCCAGGAACAGAGAAGGGCTGTGCCCCCCCCCCACCGCCCGCCCCTAGGGCCTCCTCCCGGCAGTCTCCTGCCTGCCTGGTCAGGCCAATGCCGAGGACTCCAGGAGGAGGACCCAGGCAAAAAAGAGGCTGGCCACAGAATGGAGGGACTGCCAGCACATAGGGTGACCCGAGAGAAGGGCCAGACGCTGATGGTGGCCACCAGGGAGGATAGGGTGCAACCGCCAGGGCCAGGGTCCCCACGTCTAGCCCCGGCTGTCCTTCCAAGCTCGGTTCTGACAACCCGGCCACCCTCAGCTGTGTGCTTCCACGGAGCTCCCCTGGCCTCCCTGCACCCCACTTCGCTCCAACACCTCCCTGCACCCCACTTTGCTCCTGTTGGTCCCCTGCCTCTCCCTCACGCTCCAACTTCCTGCCTTCCAAGTACTTCTCTGGCCTTCATGGCTCTTCCCAAACGCCAGCCTCCCTTGTAGCCCTCCCTGCTCACCACCTCCGCCAGCCGTCTCCCTGAAATCTGAAGCCCCCAGCCAGCACGCCGTGCTGCCTTGGTGGGGAGACCGAGTCTCCCGCCTGCACCCGCTTCCCCATCTGTAAAATAAGGGTGCTAATAGTTTCATGAGGCATGAATGGGTAAAGTAGCAAAGTTTTTAGGGAGGGTAATAAATGTTGGCTATTGTCATTGTCCTCATCGGTTGTAGGTACAAATACTTGTTTTGTGTTTCTGAGTATCTGGCACTCGAGGCCATGGGAGGTGAATTGAACTTATGAAGCAGTGGTTTGAGGGGCTGGGTGGGGAGGTGAAGGTGAAGGAATCCAACAGTGTCTTAGCCACTGCGTCCATGTTCACGGGGCACCTGCTATGTGCCGGGCTCTAGAAAGAGGCTCAAAGAAGGGAAACAGGACTGTCTTTGCCATTATGCAGAAGTGGCCCCAAAATAGGAGGGCCATTCCCCCAAATCCCAGGTGATCCGAGCCAAATCCCGCCACCCATCACCTTGAAACATGAAAGAGGTAAATCCAAGACACGCAGGGGACAGAGGAGTGCACAAAAGTATCCCCCTTGGGGCTGGTGCTGGTCAAGCTATCGATCACTCCCAGGGTCGGGGGAGTTCACAGACAGTCACAATGTCACCGCAGTCGTGGCTTCTTCGGGGTGGTGAGGTTCTGACACCTGTTTTCTTACCTGTGAGCTTGGTGCCCCTCAGCTGGACACTTAACTTCTCTGGGCAGCAGGTTAGCAGCCTCAGTGCCAAGGTTCTGGCTACCTGGTGAGCTGTGTCAGGCCAGGTCTGACCCCCAGACAAAAAAGTCAGGGTCCCTCCTGCCCTGGAGCCCACCATTGGAGGTGGGCGGCGAGGGCACAGCCACGCCACACCACGCAGCTTCCCCACGTTTAGGCAGCACCCTGGCATGTGCTCGCTCGAGAGAACACCTGGGGCCCAAAGACCCTGAAGATCACACCCAAAACTGCTGGGTGGGGCCAACTGCCAACCAAAAGTAGCACCACGGACTAGACTGCACGCCACAGTCATCTGGATGTGAAAGGGAAACACACCGTATGTTGTCCCTGCTGGTTCCAGGGTCAGGAGGATCCGCAGTGGTTGGTGTTTACTGAGCACCTACTAGGTGCACCACACACACAACCTCTCTGGTCCTAGGTATCCTTGGAAGCAGCTATCGTCCCCACAATAAAGATGGGGAATGTAGGCTCAGGGCAGTAACGTCTGGCCCAGGAGACATGGCTGGGAAGTGGCAGTGCCAGGACCCAAACCGAAGTCCCTCAATTCCGCCTTCTCTGGGGACCTCTGGGAACAAGAAGGAAACTCATTTGTTTCACCCAAGTGAGGTTTATTCACGAGCATTTAGGAAGCACCCTCTGTGCCCGGCATGACTCAGAGATAACAGAGAAGTGTGGGTTCGAGCTCTGGGGGAATCTGGGAGACTAGACGCAGACACGCGGGGCAACTGGAGAACGATGCCCGGGCCACATTATATGAGCTCACATCCTCCCACACCAACCCCAGCTGGCCGGTGAGCGCTGGTGAAAGGAATGAGCCAGAATCTGCAGGTACCCGCTGTGACCACCAGATGGCGGCAGTAGGCTGATCCATCAGACTCCGTCCTGCAGACCCTTAATAGGTCACATTAGGTCATTTTTTTTTCTAGGAGTGGCAGTGCCTGGTTAAGATAAATAGCATGAGGGAAAGGAATATTTTTAGGCATCCACCACCAGGTGGGTAAAAACACCCAGGATGCACAGAAGCTGGAAGGGATGCCCTGTCAGAGACCAGGGTGAGGTGGGACTAGTCAGGGATGCCCTGGGTCTCCCAGGCCTCCACCAGGGGGCAGCGCTAGTCCCTCCCCATGGTGTAGCCCTGAATCATGCTGCTGAAGTACGCTGGCGTGTTACGCTCCGGGAAGAAGAGGATCATGTAGCATTTAGGGCCAAAGTAGCCCAGGCTGATGCCCATGAGGTTGAGCACAGTGACCAAGAGGTCCAGGATGGTGACCAGCACCCCCCTGTAGACAGACATAAAGGTGCAGAGGGAGACGGAGGAGCTGAAATAGAAAGTCATGCAGAAGGTGATGAACTTGGCCTCGTTGTAGTTGGTCGGCAGCTCCTTGCCCATGTAGGCGAAGCTGAAGCCTGCCACGGAGAGCAGCAGGTCCAGGCTGGTGTTGACCAGCAACCCCTTGAGGTAGTAGGGGTTGCAGGAGAGGATCATGACCTTGGGGTCGTCGGGGTCAGTGAGGGTGGTGGGGCTGGTGGTTGTGGACAGCAGGCTGCTCGACACGATGGCCACCTTGAGCGCCGTCATGGATGCCACAAAGACGTAGGGCCCGTGCCAGCGGACCCAGTAGGCATAGGCGCGCGGGAGGCGGCTGGCCAGTTTGAAGACGCAGACGATCTGGAAGGAGCGCACGGCGATGCAGGAGATGCAGATGGTGAAGCAGAGGGTGAAGAAGGTCTGGCGGCAGAAGCACGTGGGGACCGTGGGCAGCCCTATGTACGTGGGGACCATCAGGTACGCCACCAGCAGTGGCACCAGCATCAGGAAGCACATGGGGCCCCCAGCGGAACGGACCATGGGCGTCTGGAAGTGCCTCCAGACTATTACCAGGATGGCCAGGGTGCTGAGGAAGCCCAGGATGGCCAGCATGACCACAGCGATGGTGGACGCTTCGTGCCATTCCAGGAAGACCAGTTGCCTCTTGAAGCAGGAGGCGTCTCCCCTGTGGGACCACTCATTACTGGGGCAGGGCTGGCAGTCAAACTCATCTGCAAGAACCACGGCGATTCCCATCAGCCAAACCCACTCAGCCGGGCCCCAGGCACCCAGAGGGAGCTGAGGGCGACCCCTGCAGGCACAGCCAACACTCACTGAGCCCCCTTCACCTGCTGGCTCATCAAACTCCATAGCAGACCCATTTCTCAGACAAAGGAAACTGAGGCTCAGCCAGGGAAGGTCGCAAACCTCCTGGACTCAGAGCCTAACGACTATAATTCCTCCCTTTCAAGACCTCACTCTCTGGTGGGAGAGATATTCAACTGTTCATTCAAAAAATCCATTCAGCAAATATTTTCGGAGCACCGTCCTCAGGTGGGAGGCCACAGAGACAGACAAACCCAGCCCCTGCCTTCAAGCTACAGACAAGTCGGGAGAGGAAGGCCAGTGAGATCGCTGGACAGGCTTCCCTGGAGCAGCTGCCCCGCACACTGCGCCCTGCTGAGCACACCCCTGAGAGCAGACACTTGCAGGCACTCTGCACACGTGTCAGTGAGGCCGTGAAGACAATCACCAGAGCCCCAGCTGTGAGCTGCGGTGCTCAACACTGACATGGACAGAGGACACTGTTCCCGCCTTCCTGGAGCTCGTGCTCTGCCAGAAGAGACGTTAGTTAACCCTTCTAATCAAGAAAGTCACTCAGGAAGTAGTCACTGAGCAACCATTCCAGGCTCTGAACTGCACTATGCACTTGGGAGGCTGGACAGAGAAACTGGACACTGCCCCTGTCTGCCGGAAATGCTTCTTCCTCTGGCAGAGCCAGTTCATTCATTCATTCATCCTTTCATCCATCCACCGTCCAGTGCACTTCCCCTGGCCTGGCTCCCCTGGGCTGAGGACTATGTGTGTGTGTGTGGATCAAGGTCAGTTTCAGCCCCACCTGACTGGGTGCAGTTCCTCCTCCCTAAACCAGCCTGCATGGGAGATTTTTCTCTACACCAGGTACTGGGGAGATACAAGTGGAATAAAACATGGTCCCTGGCCTTTGGACACTTACGTTGCCTCAGGGAGACCCCAGAGACCCTGCAAAAGAGGAAGAGGCCAGGAGACCCCCTGGAGCAGGGGCAAGGGCAAGGGCAAGGGCAAGGGTGCGGGCTTGCAAGCCGTACCTGCAGTTTTGTTGAGAAAGGTGCCAGGGAGGCAGTCGAGACACTCGAAGCAGCAGGAATGGACGCCCATGGCCTTCTTCCTCTGCCCAGGCTGGCAGTCCTTGGAACACATGGACACGGGGGCCTGCGGGGAGGGGGCGTGAGGCCCGAGCCCTCTTTCCCCGACTCTGAGGGCCTGCCAGCTCTCCCCAACTGGCAGGACCCTCAGGGGAGGGAAGGCTGCCTCCTGTCTAGGAGAAAAAGGGGCACTGCGACTCCCGTTAGGAATGGACCTTTGTGATGACCCTCTTCGCTTTGCCTGCCCAAGACCTAACAGCCCCCACCCAACTGTCAAGACAGAGACTTTAGGAGACACTGCTGAGAGGACAGGATGTGACCCTGGGCCGCTGGCAGCCACCTGGTCTCCAGGGCACAGAACACACCTGGAGAGATGGAGCACGTGGGCCCCTGGATCCCTCCTTGCCTGAAGAAGCCTCCCTTCTACCCCTGCAGCTTTCCATGATGTAAGGCAATAAATGATCACTTTGCATCGCTTTCTGCCCCGGCAGCAGAGTCTCACAGAAGGCAGCCTTTACGGAGGGGCAGGGTTTCCAGGTGAACAAGAGCAGGCAGTAGTGACCATATCTATGGTTTCTGCTGCTCTAGTTCTAGAACCTAGAAGAAGACCCAGCGGGCAATGATTGTTCAGGAAGTGCCTGAGTGAATCGCGGTAGAGGAGGCAGTGAGAACAGGGGGCTGGAGGAGCAGAGGGGGCGGCATGCTTGGGAAGAGGGCGTGTCTGGGCCTGGCCTGGAGTCAGAATGTACGAGGAGAGGGTCGGGGAGCGCGGAGGCTTCTGAGGGCTCTGCTGTGACGCACTAAGAATGCAGGGGGTGGGAGGAACCGTGGTTCCTGAGAGTGGAAAGGGCCGGATCAGACTCGGTCGTACAAAAGTCATTCTGATGACCCATGTGTCGAGCATGCACAGAGGATGGGCCAAGGGCCCCAACAAGGGGGGCAGAGCAGGACCACTCAGCCCCAGGGGCCCCCCCTTCTTGCCTCTCAGAGGTCACCCGTCTTCTGCCCCACCTCTCAGTCCCTCTAGCCTCTGACACCACAGTTACAGCAAATAACAAGCACAGCCTAACGCCCTAACGCCCACCCAGATACGTATAAAATCTCCTACTAGAGATGTATGTAGCTCATCTTCTCCTAACGAATACATCATATCAGGCCTTCAAAAAAAATTAAAGAGCATGCAAAAAGACAAATACAAAAGTCACAGTCTGAAGAGAGAAAACAAGCATCGGATTTTAGAACATCCAAGATTTGGGAATTATCAGACCGGGAACTTAAATGAACTGTGACCAGCAGGCTGAGGCTCTAACCGGAAAAGTGGACAACATGCAGGAGCGGACAGATGACGTACGCACAGACGTGCGAACTCCAGGAAAGGATCAAAAGGAGGTGCTGGGGATTTAAAGAACAAGCAGACATGGTAACAGAGGTAGAGAATGCCAGTGAACTGGACTGAGTCAAGGAAAGAATCAGTGAGCTCGAAGATGCTCCAATAAAAATATCTCCCAACTGAAGAACAAAGAGGAAAAAAAAAGAGAGAACAGAATATCTGAGAACTATGAACAATTACAAGAGGTACAACATACGCATAATTGGAATAACCAAAGGAGACTAAAGACAGCAAAGCGCAGAAGAAATATTTAAAGGAATATTGGCCGAGAACTTTCTAAAGTTAATGACAGACCCCAACCCCCAGATCCAGGAAGCTGAGAGACACCCAGCAGGAAAAGTAGCCAAACATCTGCTCCTGGGCCTGCCACACTCAAAGCACAAAAAACAAAGACAAAGATGAAATCTCAGCAAAAACAACAAAAGCCAGAGGAGGGGAATACCAACAAAAATGTTACTTGAGAAAAAGGACATTTTATCATGATTACAGGGTCAACCGATTAGGATGATATAATCATTATAAACATACAGAAGGGGGGCCCCAAGACACACGATGCAAAAGCCATCAGCATTGAAAGGAGAAACAGACTATTGAAATATAATATTCCACAGTGATGCTTAAAGACGTCAGTGCATCCCTCTCAATAACGGGCAGACCGATCAGACAGGAAGTAAGTGAGGAAACAGGACTAGGCTGGCACAGCAACTGAGCTGACCTAACAGACATGTCCAGAGCACTGTCCAGTAAGGACAGAACACACGTCCTTCTGGAGCTCGCCCCGGGGCATTTCCCGGAACAGAGCACGTGTTTGGCCTCAGAGGAAGGGCTAACCGATGTTTCACAGGCAGACAGCACACAAGTTAGACATGAAACAGAGAAGGAAGCCCAGAAAATTCACAGATTCACAGAATTTAAACAATGCTCCTCAACAACCTGTGGATCCAATGAGAAATCACAGGGGAAACGAGAAAACACTGAAGAGAGGAATGAAATTGAAAACACAACCTACCAAAATGGACACAGCGGAGCAGGAGAAGGGGGATATTTACAGCTATAAATGCTCACGTTCACAAGCAAGGGCGTCGTATACTTGTTCCACACCTTTATCCACTCATCTGCTGACGGGCCCTTGGGCTGCTTCCACACCTTGGCTGTTGTAAATAATGCTGCAACAAGCACAGCAGCCAATGCATCTGTCTGAACTGGTGGTTTGGATTTCTCTAGACAAAGACCCAGAAGGGAAACTGCGGGGTCATTGGGTAGCTCTGTTTTTAATTGTGTGGTGACGTTCCACGCTGTTTTCCACGGTGGCCGCACCAAGCCGCAGCCCCCGCAGCAGGGCCTGGGGACCCCCTCCTCTCCACATCTTCACGGACACTTGCTTGTCCATTGATGGACACACTAGTTTAGATGAAGTCATACCGGAGCAGGGTGGCTCCTACTCTGAGATGGCCAATGTCCTGACAGAAGGGAGAGCCCCGTGTAAAGGAAGCAGAGGCCCCGGGTGAGGGAGCAGAAGCCGGGGAGAGCCAATAGTGGCCGGCGGGCCCCGGGGAGCCAGGAGAGAGGGTGGCCCAGGTCCCCCCTCACAGCCCTCAGCAGGAACCAGCCCTGCCGGCAGCACGGCGGTCTTGGACTTCTAGCCTCCAGGACTGCGAGACAACCTATTTCTGTTCTTTAACCGCCCCACCCACCCCCAGGCTGTGGCTGTTTGTTACAGCAGCCCCAGCAAACAAACAAAGACGGAAACCAATTTCCTCCATAAACATCCCCAAGAGGCCCGGGAACCAGCAGCATCAGGAGTCTGGAACTGGGGATAAAGCGCGAGGGAGAGCCATGAGGGGTCTTCGAGAAGCTTTGTGATGCCCTGGTCCCCTCCCCTCCTCCGCAGGCTGGGCCTCTACCCCTCCCTGCACCGGCAGAGCTCTGACAGCTGATGGTCTGAAGAGGATTAAAACGGGACCTTTGGGTTGACGGGCGTCAGACACAGTGGAAGGCAGAGCTACCGCCCCCACAGCACGAACATTAACGGACAGGATGGACAGGATGGACAGATGGACAGGATGCAGCCTGAACACCCTGGTGCCCGTGGTCCTGAGGGGCCAAAGAGCCCCGAACTTCCAGTTCTCAGTCAGCGGTGGGAGGACAGGACCCCAGACAAACAGAGACCCCACCAGCTACGGGTACCGAACCTGGATGCCATCCTTGATGAAAAGGGCCGTGGCCACCCCCCACCGAGCCGGCCCCACAGCCCCTGAGAGCTGACCATGCCGTTGGGCGTGTGCCAGGAGACATTGCGGACACACTCCAGCTGCTGCTGCTTGGGGTAGTAGGTGGCGATGCTCTCGAATGGGTTCTGGCTCAGGTCCCACTGCCACTGAACGACCTCCAGGGGGACGGGCAGGTCCCCGTACTGGTCGAAGTGGATGCGGTGGCCCAGGAGGGTAAAGTTGACCTTCTTGATCTCCTGAAGAAGCTAGAGGGACCAGAGAAGAGGCAAGTGGGGCTGGCCTCAGCAGGTGGGCCGACCTGGGAGAAATCTGCCTTCCCGCTCGCCTTATGCTGACAGCCCTGTCTCTGGGGCCAGACTTTTTGGGTTTAGGTGCCAGCTGTGCCGCTGGCTGTGAGGCCTTGGGCCTGTCGCTTAACCTCTCAACCCATTTCTACTGCAAAATGGGAGCAGCAAAACGCCTATTTTCTGGGCTCTAAAGCAATAAAGGAGTTCATCTATGTTTGGGGCTGAGACTAGTGCCTGAGAAACAGTAAATGTTCACCCCCTACTGAAGATTTGATCGTGTTCTTTTTTCTCAGGAAGTCCCCTTGGCCATCCCTCGGGGACCCAATACCCGCCCCCAGAGTCCATTCCCTCTCTCACCTGTAAGAGTCGGCTGGGATCTCCCCTGCACCCCTCCCCGCCCCCACACGGGTCCTGCGAGTCTCCCCCAACTCCATGCCTCACTCTCAGGATGCAGATGCTGGGACAAACTAGCACATGCGTGGAACTGGGATTCCTTGGGCCTGAATTCCACCCTAGCTCTGTCCTTGGTTTGCTGTGTGACTTTGAGCAAGTCATTGAACTTCTCTGGTCTGACCCCAAGAGCTTCCAGCTTAGATATCCCACCTGTCTGGTTCCTAGACTTTTTCCTCCATAAACAGGAGAGCCTATTAGGCTACATCTTGGGGGTCCAGAGCTCACCTGACCTTGGAGACTGACAGACAGACAGACAGCCAAGGGAGTCGGTTCCTAGCCTTCTCCCCAAAGAGACTTCCAGAGTCAGGACTCTCTTCCTGGAATGTCCAGCAGCTGCCCTCCCCTGCTTAAAGCCTGCCTTTCCTCCCTGCCCGCCCCCCACACACACACAACTCCAACTCTGACTTCCTGCTGCATTCAGCAGGGACAGAGTGTCCTCCTTGGGTGAGAGGCTAATTTTCTCACGGTGCCCAGCCTGGGCCTGGCACACAGTGGGTGTGCCACTCAGTAAATGGAGTTGGACAGCCTGGTGCTCCTTGGGCTCCACCATTAAGGGAGGAGAGACGCCAACTGATCCTTCTCCAGAGCTACTGCCAGTTGTGGCTGGGGAAGCAGCTGGCAGGAGAAGTCGGAAAACCACTGCGGAATGGGCCCGGCCTGGGTTCAAAGCCACAGTCGGAGGCTATCACAGGCGAATCGCTTCAACTCCCCGTCCCTCAGTTTCCCTGTCTGTAGATCGTCAACCTCACAGGATGGCCATGAGTTAAGGTGATGTGTGCTGGACACTCGGTGCTCGTGGGCACTCAAACAACGGTGAAGCGCCCGTGACTGTCACATGTGTTATTAATGTAGCAGAGCATCTGGTAAAACAGAACATTGACCAGCTGGCGCCAGAATATCTTTTAAAGAATAACCACATTTAAGCCCTGGCTGGTGTAGCTCAGTGGATTGAGCACGGGCCTGCGAACCAGACAATCGCGGTTCGATTCCCAGTCAGGGCACATGCCTGGGTTGCAGACCAGTTCCCTGCAGGCTAGTTCCCAGCAGGGGACGCACAAAAGGCAACCATACATCGATGTTTCTCTCCCTCTCTCCTTTCCTTCCCCTCTAAAGGTAAATAAATAAAATATTAAAAAAAAAAGAATAACCACATTTAAAAAGAAAGAATAGCTACACTTAAACACTTAGGTTTGCAAGTTTAGGCTCTGAGATTATGGGGTAGAGAGGTACAAATAAATAAAATAAAAGTAGCGAGGATTTTTAGAGAACTAACTAAAGTGCTCCATTCAGGAAGTGACCAGGTATCTAGGAGATGGGTGGGTATCTAGGAAAGAAGGGGAGAGTGAAGAGAGGCCAGAGACATGAGGTGGGTGATTGGCTGAGCCCCAGCCAATGAAAAACTGGGGAACAGCCTCAGCTCGGCCATGTCTGCCAGCGCCGGGTGAAGGGCACACCACAGCCGAGAAACCCCCTGCTCCTCCTGCTCTGCCGTGGAACCTTCTCTACCCAGGGCCTTGTTTTGGTAGAGGTGTGTGTGAATCAGCCAACACAGATTGAAGTTCCAGGTCTGAATCAAGGGGACACAATTGGGACAATGATCCTTGATCCTGATGTGGCACCAGGAGAACTGATGGGAATCCCCAAACCACTTCTCCTGGCCCCGGGCCCCGAGTGACCTCAGGGGACACTGCCGCTTCCACTTTCTGTGGGGTCTGTTCCCACGTAACTTCACCTGAACCTCCCACGACAGACTATCTTGGATGATGAGGATTAAACTAATGAAGTAGGACATTTGTTTTGGCAGCATGAAGGATTTCTGGTTTCATGTTTCCCAGAGGCAGGGCACCTCCCACGGCCTCTCCCACCTATTGGCCCAGAACCCACCAAGGGATGAAGAGGCTAGAGCAAAGGTGGTGGGGGAAGGGTGTCCCTGCACTCTCCATGGCAACCAAAGGCTCTGCACCGTCTCCCCGGGGGCTCTGGCTTTCCTCCTCACCTGCCAGGGATAGACCACCCTCTTGGGGCAGCCTGTCTGGCTGCAGCCCAGGAGGCTGTGCAGCGCGTGGGCAACGGCGTAGATAGCAGCGTACACGTTGTAGGCCCCACGCTGGCTGGAATATCTGAGCAAGGTGTACAAGGACTGAGGGGTGTCCAGGCAGGTGTCGCACTCCTGGTTGCAGGTGGCGCTCCCGTTGGACGTGCGCGGCCCGGCCTGAGCGTGGAGTGCGTGGAACTCGCCGAAGCCTGGGATGGGCACGCTCTGGGTGGTGATGCCCAGGAAGGTGCCCGTGCGGCGCAGCTCGGTGAGGCTGTGCAGGACCAGATCGGCCGCCCAGGACTCGGAGGCAATCCATACGATGCCACTGATGTTTCGGCGCAGCACCTCGTGGAAGAAGTTGCGCAGGGCCAGGTCCGGCGAGAACAGGACCACCACGCGTGCGGAGCTCTGCTGCAGCTTGTCCACAATGGCCTCCAGGCGCTCGCGCTCCTGCCGCGTCACCTCCTGGTTGGGCTGCGGCGTGGGCAGCGCCTCCTGGAAGGCGATGCAGATGTCTTGGCCCACCAGGCGCTCGCTGAGCAGGTGGCCATTGTCGCGGCCGTAGTCGTCACTGCTCACCAGGACGATGATCCAGTTCCAGTGGAAGTGCAGCATCAGCTGCACCATGGCCTCGACCTGGTGGTCCGCACCTGGCACCGTGCGCAGCAGCGAGGGGAAGCTCTGCTTGTTGCGCAGCTTGCTGCTGAAGGCACTGTAGGTGATCTGCCAGAGGGGAGGGGCCACCAACACTGACACCCCACCCGTTTAGAATTGCAGTCTCACTCCCCCTGTCCAGACATGACGCAAGTCCCTTACCCTGCTAGACTTCTCCTCTCTCCATTGCACTCCTGACTGTTTAACGTCCTAAATCACTTACTTATTCACGTTTACTGCCTGCCTCTCCCCACTGGAAGCTAAGCTCTATGTCCCCAGCTGTTTCTCCAGTGCCTTCAACTGTATCTGGCATAGTAGGTGCTCAATAAATATTTGTTAAATGAATGAAAGAGTGAGCTCAGTCCTGGACTAGATGTTTCACACGGGAATAAAAAAACATACTGAGCACCTACTATGTGTCAGACCCTGTGCTAGATGCTTTACACAACAAAAAATTACAGAACTGGTAACCACCTACTGTGTGCCAAGTCCCTTGCTAGCTGCTCTTTAATGTGTAGATATTTTATGCTAGTTCTGGACTAGACACTTTTGATCATGCTGGTGATAACACTGCTGATAATAGTAACAGCACTTTCTTGAGGACCTACTTTGTGGCAGGCCCTGGGCTAGGTTACTATATAGGAAAATGTTGAGCATTTTCTGAGTTTCCATTCTGGTGCAAGATGTTCTACATAACAGTAACGTTACCAATGACCTACTGTGTGCCAGAAACACTTGCATAGGTTAAACACTTTACTCTTCAGACAGTCGTAGGAGAGAACTGTCAGCATCTCACTTTACAGTGGGGAGACTGATGCTCAGAAGAGCTGAGAGACATGCAACAAAAGGCTTCACAGTGGGCGAGACTCAGAGCCAAGATGCAGGACCAAGTTCACCCACCTCCAAAGCCTAAACTCTCAACCAGAAGGCCAGGTGCCTTCCCAGGGTTGGGGTTGATGTCCCGACCTTGCCTTTGCTCTTGCCTCCGCCCCACGACGGGTGAGGGGAAGTGAGCTCTCTGGACAACTGCACCTCTGCCCCCGTCCCTGGCCCTTTCTCCCAGGGCCCGGGGTCCTCACCCACCTGTGGGAGGAGAATGAGGGAGAGGAAGTTGGCCATAATCACGGCGGACTCAGAGTGGTCGGGGCCGATGACGGCCATCACGCGGGGCAGGTAGTGGCTGTAGTCCTCCTGGATGGGCAGGAGGTAGTCCTTGCCTGCCAGGAAGAAGAGCACGGGCTGCACGTTGTTGGAGGTGTAGCACACGTCCACCATCTCGTAGCCCAGCTGCACACCCGGCAGCAGGCCGCTGCGGTTGTTGATCTCCTGCACCGCAAAGCGCATGGCCTGCATGAAGGTGTAGCCCAGCGCCTTCACTTCGTACCTGCAGGGGTGCAGCGGGGTGGGCAGCAGGTGCAGAATGAGAGGGGCGGGTGGCAGAGAGCCAGCCTATTTCTCCTATGTGCCCAAGGGAAGCCCAACATTGCCCAAGAAAGAGCCACTCTGGAAGATTCTGGTACTTTTACCACATTATTGTCGTGGTACCACATCTCTAGGATCATCATTGTCCCTATGACCACCTCGGACACTGATCTCTGTGGCCACCATCATTACCATCACCACCACCATCACCACCACCATCACCATCACTGTCACCACCACCATCACTATCACCACCATCACCATCACTACCACCATCGCCACCGCCATCACCACCACCATCACTACCACCATCACCATCACCACACTCTTCACCATTTTTATGACCATCAGCATTACTGCCATCACCATTATAAACCTCGCCCGCATCCCTTCCATCACCACCATCCCTTCACTGGACTCCCTACCGTTATTACAGGTGTCGGGACAGCTACCATCCTGCTTGGTGCCACGCCTGGGACCACCACCCTCACCATTCTCAAGCCAGCACACAACCCCCCAGTGGCCTATAAGTCAGGGCTCAGTCATCTTCTGCACGTTCCTTCCTCCCCCCTCTCCCTCCCAGAATGCCTCCACCCTCTCTACACAAGGTCATTAATTTATAATCCCAGGCTGGCTCCAGCATCTGTCCTTCAACCCAGCGTGGAGATGGCCCACCCGATCTCTGAGTGCCCCAAGGGGGCTCACAGGGGAGGGAGGGAGAGCAAAGCCCCTCCAGGCCTGGAAGCACCCCACCCCCTCCCCACAGCCCTGGGAAAAGGCGAACCTTCCCCCGCCCCCCGCCCCAGTCTGAAAACCCGCTGCAGAAGAGCCACATTCTGCCTGTGAAGGTCGGACACCTGGTTTCTCTACTGGGCCTCGGCAGGGACGCACTGGGAGTCCCCTGGTTGCCAGAGGGGGCGGTGCTGGTGTTGATGGTCTCTGAGCCACCGTCTCCTGATCTCAAATATCCTAAAGCTCTTTATATTCACACCGGGACAACCCAGGTCACAGTGCTTCGGGGCACAACGGCCAAAGATTTCAGTCACACAGACTGTGCGGGGCCTCCCCGAGGGCTGGTGAGGTGGGTCCGGGGTGGGGATTTGACAGTGAAAGAGAAAGAGCTTTCTGAGCCCTCAGTCTTGGCCTTGACCTGGCCTCCCATGGATCTCAGAACCAACCCTGGTCCCCACGCACCCCCACCGCCACGGCCAGCCTCCCACTGGAGACTCACTCCTTGCACTTGGGCACCTGCAGGAGGTTGAGGTGGACGATGCCCTTCACGTTGGCGTGGAGGGTGAAGAGGCCACCCAGGAGGTAATCCCCAGCCAGGCTGAAGTCCGAGTTCTCGACCGGCTCAGCCAGGACCCGCAGCAGGAAGAACAGGGAGCAGACCACCCTAGCCTGGGGTCTCATGGCAGAAAGTGGGGGTCCTAAGAAGTGGCTCTGCCTCGCCAGCGAGCTGGCCGCTAGACACCAAGGGATTTGCACAGACATTTACATAGTGACGGTCCTGCCACTGTCCGGGGGCGGGGAAAGCACCTGGGACAGGTGGAGGGGTTAGAGGTGCAAGGGAAAGGGGAGGAGGCTGGAATGAGGACGACCCCCCCGCCGAGGGCACAGGGGCGGGGGGCATGTGCTGCCAACTTGGCCCTGACCTTCTGTCTCATGATTGAGGACAAGCTGCATCCCCCTGACGCTTCAAACACCTGGGAGAGAAGGACGTAGGTGATCACACGAGCAGATAGAGTAGGGTGGCCGATGGAGCCCTGCTTTAGAGCCCGACCAAGCTGGCCTGGCACATGGTAATAAGAATGGCGCCGGGCCTACAGCAGGTGTCCCCAGAGTAGCAGCCATTGTCACCAGGAACCAGGCACAGTGCTGAGTGCTCGTCATCCTCCATCCCTCCTAACACACACGAGAACTGGGGCTGTGACGAAAATCAGTTCACAGGCGAGGAAACTGAGGCACAGAGAAGTTAAGAAACTCACCCTGGGTTGCACGATCACAGAGCTGAGACTCAAATCACGCGGGCCACTCCACGCCACGTCACACACATCTCGACGTCACTGGTTCTGATAAAAGCAGCCGGCAAAGAGAATGGGAGGTGGGGGCGGGGCTGGGGCGTCTCGGGGAGGGGGGCTGGGGGTCTCGCTCCCTCTGACCGCTGCTGTGCTCAGCCCATAGGCTGTCAGCTTTGCAGAGTGAGCCCACTCTGAGTCACCCATCTGGGACCAGAGCCCACAGACAGGGGTCCAGACAAAGAAGCTGACAGTTCCTGAAGTCAAATGTGACAACTCACAAAAAGTTGGGTGGAGGGAGCCGGCTCTCAGGGCCCCACTGGAATCAGAGACCCTCGGCCATGCAGTGCTGCTCCGGTCCTTCCAGCCCTAACCACGGGGGGCCCGACAGGAGTCTGGGGGGACAAGCGCCCAGTGCCCAGCTCTGCTGAGCCTGTCCCGGGGCCTGTTGGGTTGTGGGGGGAGGAGGCCCTAAAATACAAAAAGACCACTGGAAACCCAGTGTTCTCCCTCAAGGGCCAGCTGGAGCCTCCTTCAAGAAACGGTCCCTGCCCCCGGTTTACAGGAACCACCCTGCTCTGAGCTGCAGTGACCCAGCTGTCTGTGTGGGTCCAACAGCAGCCTCACATCACCGACTGGCTCCTGCTGATGTGCACGTCCACGCCGCAGGAACCCCGGGGCAACAGGCGCTGGCCCGCCCGGACTGGACCGCCGTGCTGTCTGCTGGGTGCGCCCGGGCAGCTCATGAAAACTCTCTGGGCCTGTTTGCTCCCCAGCGGGAACAGGGATCACAGTCCCAGTGCCACGGGATTCACGTGGGGGTTGAATTAAATGTCACGTGAGAATGTCCTGGCGAGGTGCCGAGCAGACCCTGGGGAAAGGCAACTCTGCCAAAGTTCGACACTGTCCCTCTTGTAACACCATGAACTGCCCCAGGGGCCACCACGGGCCCTGCACCCAGCCAAAAGGGCCAGAGCTCCTTGAACTCGCCTTGAAAGATGCTGCATGTTGGTAGCAGCTCGAGGAAGCGTGCCCTCCCTGGCTTGTGACCTATCCTGGGGTCGTGTCATTCCACAGACATTCAGAACAGCGAGGAGAGGTGCCCTAATGCTGCGGGAAGACAGGATTTACTGTGTGATCTTGAACTTGTGTCCGCCCCCCTCAGGGCTTAGGCAAACCGTTGACAGGGAGGGGAAGATCCATCCCCTAAAACAAAAAGAATAGCCCTGCATGGGGTGTGGGTTCCTGGCCTGGCCCTCCCCTCTCTGGCCTCAGTTTCCTCATCTGTACAATGGAAGGCCCTCTTTGGACTGCCCGTATCCACCCTCTCTGACTGCCCATCAAAGGCCCCAGTACTAACTCACCCTCTGTTCCTTTTGTTTTCTCCAGGCCCCTCCCCCTTTGCCACACCCCAAGCTCAGATCCTCAGCTTCCTGTCTGGACCCCTCTGTGCCCTTCGTGCTGACCATTTAAATCCCTGGCGGTTTACATCCTCTGAGCCTGTGGGTCCTCTGCTCTGACACCTCGCGGGGCTCCCCATTGCCTGCAGGATCATGGCTGAGCTCCTTGCCTCGGCATTCAAGGCCTCCCTGTCCCTGCCTTTCCAGCCTGCATATGTGCCCCAAACGACAGCCACCCTGGCCCCTTGGCAGCTCAGCCCCTTGGAACTTCTAGACACTTCAGGAGTTTGGAGGATAACAACGAAACAGTACCCTTTCCAGGGCACGTCAGACACTGTGCCAAGAATTCCATGTGCATTATGCCACTTAATTCTCACAAGTACCCTGCAAAGTGGCCGCGGGGAAACTGAACTTGAGAGGTTAATCTCCTGAACGTCACACCTCTAACAGGGGGTGGCACTAGAACTTCGACCAAGGCGGCCCCAGCACTTGACCTCCGTGCTACCTGACCTGGCTGTGTTTCGCCCACAGGAGCTGTCCCTGCTATGACCGGCCCGATGCCAGGCTGCAGGGGGGCTGAGAAAGCCATTAACCCAGTGGGCACTGGCTGAGCCCACCATGTAGCAGGGCTGGGTGCAGCACCAGGGACATGGCCAGGGACATTGCAAGGGATCTGGCTTACGGTCGGGACAGAAATCAGGGTCCTCACAAGAGCAGCACGTGCTGGAATGGCAGGGGCCCCAGGGCCCCCCCGCCCCCCAGTGAGGAGATCATGGCTGAGCTGAGATGGCCTGAAGAGATGTACAAACCCACCCATCACACAGATGGGGCAACTGAGGCCCAGAGAGGGACACTTGCCCAAGGGTCAGAAAAGCAGGCTGATTTCCCCTTGACTCAAGTCTAAAGTGTCAGGACAGCTCTGTGATGCTCCAGGCCACACCAGCCCCAAGATGGGACAAGGATGAGGGAAGGCAGGGGCTGCACCACAAAGCACGGAGCAAGGGGGTGACAATGAGCACAGGTTATTTCTGTGGTTGGAGGGCTCACTGCTGAGTGCTCACCACACTTCATCGTCCCCCTTTATTGTCACTACTTCCCCTATTTCCCCGTTTTGTAGACAGGGAGGCAGATTCAGAGAGAGACAGTAACTTATTCAAAGCCACGTAGCAGGTACGTGGAGAGAGGAACCCAAGGCTCAGATGGGGGCGCATGGAAGTGGTGGAACCAGGGGCTCCGAGGAGGAAGGAATAACAGGGCCTGTGACAGGGAGGGCTTCTTAGCGTGTGCGGGCGTCGGCATGGACGGGGAACCTCCCTGAGGACCGAACTCCGAAGGAGCACTGGACAGGGAGTCCGAAGTCTCTGCTCTGGCCCATCCTGCAGGCTTCCCTGGGGCAGGGGGCTTCCATTCTCTGGACCTCAGTCTCCCCACCTGTAACAGGCACTCAAGTAGGGGCAAGGGTCCTTTCGAGATTCTGATGAGGCCCCGGACACTCATGTGACACTCGGCAAGCACAGCAGACCACGAATCCAGGTGCCGCCAGGCCTGCTCCATGAGGCTCGTCTGCAGACCCTGTGCCGAGACGCCCGGGCTGGGGGATCTGCACCTCCCCCCTCTGCCCCGACACCGTCTGGGACAGGTGACTCGGTGTGGCTGAGGCCCTGACCACTCCGAGGACAGATGCCCAGGAACACTGTGTCACCCTGACTCTCTGCCAGGGTTACACAGACATAGCCCGTGCCCTGGGTGGCCCAGGCTGGACACACTGTCACCCTTCTGGCCTAGTCCAGGGCCCAAGGTCCCCATGCTGACACCTGTGTGGCCACTGGTTGCCAAGGCGACAGAGAGCTATGATAGGCTTATGGAAAGTACATGGGGTGGGGGCGGTGTGGAAATGGGGGGCCCTGGAGAAGCTGTCCATTTGCCTGGCACCCGCTCCGCCAGGTGCTCACGGAAAGAAACTGGCTGGAGGGGGCTGCCCTGACCTTCCTTCCTCCCGCTCCCATGGAGCACAGGGGAGCCCCAGGAAAGGCCTGACCCCAGGGACTGGAGGCTGCATCGGCTCCTCTTTCCCTCCCCTACCCCATCTCACCTGTTTCTTTCCTACCGTAGTCCCTCCTCCAGGAAAAAACTGGGCAGCTGGAAACCTAGCTCCAATCTGGCTTAGGGTGGGCAGGCAGGGCCTCCCCGAACAAGGTCTGGGCAATGGGCCCCCTGAGCCGGCCAACTTGGTTCAGAGAAGCGTTGGAGGAGGGTCACCGGGGAGGCCTCCGAGCCCCTCCTCAGGGGGTCCAGCCTCATCAGTCACCCCTGGGAGAGGTTAGACCTCGAAAGTGGAGTGGGCCCTGGAGGCTGGGGACCCAAGGGTCAGCTGAGGCCTGCGGGAGAAACTCCGCTGTGGTCGAGACACCCACTCAAGTCCACAGAGTTGCCTAAGCCTCCTCACTGAACTTGGCTGGGTGACGTCAAGCAGTCTGTGTCTCAACCAGACAAAGACCTGGAGGCTCCAAACGACCACGGTCTCAGTGGGAGTCCGAGGAAGGGAAGCAGCCTTTACGGAGCCTCTGCAATGCTTTCGAACATCACTGCGTCTGCCCAGCGCAGTTCCGGGAAGGATTTTTATCCCTATTGTACGGATGAGGAAACCGAGGCTCAGAAGCCTGAGCGCCTTCTGTGGGAGGACTTACAAGGCCACAGGTGGAATGACTAGCCCAAGGTCATTCAGCTAGTTAGCAGGAGGGCCGGCGTGGAACCCAGGTCTCTGGACTCCACAGCTCACGCTCCTCCCACCGGCTGCATCAGGTCCCGCCCCTGTCCCTCTACCACTGACATTTAAACTCCCCCAACCCGGCCCTTTCGCCTCCATTTAACCAGGGCAGGCTGCGGGTCAAAGCCATTGCTCACTGTTTCCTCTGCCTTCCCCTGTCCCCCAGACTTGGGGCTGGTGGCTCCCGAGAGCCCAACACCTGCCCAGGTGCCCAAGGCCTCTCTGCATGGTCGCCACAGGAAGTCCCCGTGTCCGTGTCCATGGTGGCCCAGGAGCCTCTTCATTTCCCTGCTGTGCCCCGGGGGGCCAGCTGCAGGTCTGGGCTCAGAGCATGAACCATTTGCCTGAGGCCGGATGTCCCTGCCGCCACCATCCCCCGGCTGCCAGTCGGGCGTGCACTCTAAGGAAATGAGGGCCACCTGTGCCAGCTCCCAGCCGACAGGCCAACTCGGAGCTCCTGGGGGTCCAGAGGAGGCGTCAGGGCGCAGGCCCACCCTCTTCACGAAGCCAGGTCACTTTCATGCATTCCCCCACCGCATGCGCATCCTCTATTCCCGCACCGTCTATCTGGAGTTGGGGTCATGAACAGACCTGGCAGCACTTGAACGCAGGCCGAGCCGGGCACTGTGCCCATGTGTTGGACCTCGCACCCTCGGACACTCACACAGCCACACAGATGCGTTCTGTCACGCCCATTTTACAGAGGAGGAGACTGAGGCACAGGTGGCTGAAGTAGCTAGTACACCTAGGTGTGCTTTACCCAGTAAGGTCAGTGTCAAGGCTCTATGAGACTAGACAGCCAAAGCGCTTAGCCAGTGATCAGCCAGACAACTCTGCTACTGCCTCAGTGTGACCTCAAGCAAGCCACTCCACCATGCAAAAACAGTAATAGCTATTAAAACATTAAAAACTATAAAATACAGTTGCCATCCTTCCCATCCAGAAGCTCCAGCCTGGGCACTGGGGGCCACCCTTTGGTGCTCAGGCAAGGCCCCTCTTGCCCAAATCAGTGGCAGCCCTGGGGTGAGCAGGGTGAGGGCTCTGCCAAGGGTAAAGTCTCCACTGCCCCCCATAGCTCCGAGAGCCCCAACGACAACAGCACAGATTGATGGACGCTGGGACAGGGATGCTGACGTGGCTCCGGGGCAGCTCCTTCACATTGTCTGTGGGTGGGGGCAGGCCAGGACACACATGTCCCCCCTCCAAGCCAGCTGGCCCAGGAGGGCTTGGACCCACAGATTCTGGGCTCAAGCCACCTGGCCACCGTCGCTCCCCACATGTCACCTGGCAGCTGAGCTGAGTGGAAGGAAGGGAATGGCTTTTGGCGTCAGGCAGACCTGGGTTTCTGTTCCAGTGATACCACGCTCTCGGCAAGTCCCCTCACCTTTCTGCGCTGTCCTCATCTGCACAACGGAAGCACGGCAGCCCTTACATAAGGCTGCCGTGAGGACATGCAAAGGCCTTGGCACGCGTGTTCTCGGGGCTCTCCAGACAGACAGAACCAACAGCAGGCACACAGGGGGAGAGATTTACTGCGAGGAACTGGCTCACAAGATTGTGAGCGTTGGTAAATCCAAATTCTGCCAGTGGGCCGGCAGCCCGGAGACCCACGGAGAGCTATGGACAAGCCCAAAGACGGTCTGCTGGTGGGAATCCTTCCTGCTCAGGGCAGCTCGTGGGCCGGGGGGTGGGGCCAGTCTTTGTTGTTAAGGCCTTCGACTGATTGGATGAGGCCCACCCACAGTATGGAGGGCAGTCTGCTTTCCTCTAAGTCCACCGATGGAAATGCAAATCTTTTCCAAAAACACCCAGAATAATGTTTAAGTAAAATGCACGTAATCTTAAACATCACAGCAGGCAACAGTGGTTGTTTCAACAATGGGCAACACTGTCAAATCGCTGATTTCTGCATCTGGCACTGTTCTAAACACCTACAGTCAACTCAGTTCATTCTCGTGACAACATGTGTGTGTGTGTGTGTGTGTGTGTGTGTGATCATTCCCAACTTACACAGAGGTGAAGAGACAAGGTCAGAGAGGCTGTGCAACTTGGTGGAGCTGGGATCTGAACCCCGCCCGTCCAGCCCCGCAGTTCCCACCGCCTGCAGCAGCGATTCCCATTCACCAGTGCCTGCCCTCCCTCCCGCCACACTGTGGGCACTGTGCTACTGACACCTAAGGACACGGTGGCAATGCCATCAGACTTAGCAGCTGACTAGCCCCCAGAGCCGCACCAGAAAGACCACCAATCTGATGAAGTAACAGGTACTTTATTGGGTGACACCAGGGCAAACCCTGTTGCCACTTCACAGTGCAGAGCCAGCGGAACCACGGACACTTACAGCCACCCGCCCACCCGGGCGCCGGGGCTGGCCCCTTGTGGGAAAAACAGTGCAGAACCTGGAAGACATGCCCTGTCCAGGTGATATCAGTACGGCCCTGACCGATAGCCACGGTCTGGGATCATGGCACTTGGGGAATGGCCACATCAACCCCGTGGGGACCCCCTGCCAGCTGTCCTTGCAGAGGGCCCTGCATTTCTAGGGCTCCCAAAAAATGTGCTCCAAAGTCACTCCTTATAGATCCCTGGCCACCCAGAATCTGACCCATTTGTGAGAGTCCACCGATCGGCTACTTCAAACAAAGAGCGGGCCACCAAGGGCCAGTCCACACAGAGCCACTTGCATGTAAAGGAAGGAGGATTCTATGGCCAATCCTCGGCCCTGGCAGGATGGGGACCCACAGTGGGTCTCGGGGCCTGGGAGGTGGTGGGAGCAGCACCTACTGGAGCCTGTCCCACCACAGCTGGTGGGAAGGGCGCTCCTGCGGAAGACCCCAGGCCCGCATGGGCTCTGGGAGTGGCCGCCCTGGGGGCAGGGCAGGAGCGCCCAGGGAAAGCTGACACGACACAGTCCACCCAATTTCTAAAATCATAGCCCCAAAAGGAAGGACTGGCATACCCCACACTTTGGCAGGTGGCCTCCAGCAGCCCCCAGGCCCACCCCTCAGAGACAGCCAGGAACCACGTGGTCATACAAGCTCCGAGGAAAAAGGCACATGGGCATCTAAGGTTGAAGGTTGGGCATAGCTACCCACTGGCTCATGGGAATCCAGGCAGCGAGCTAGCGTGAAGGGTGGGTGGCCCAGACCAAAGAGGGCAAAGTCAGCTGGAGCCCCACGCCCTACTGGTCACACCAAACTCAAAGACCTGGATAGCCAGGGCCCGGGAGCCTCTGTGGGTAATGAGGTCACCAGGGGGCGCAGAGTCACCTTCTTTCCTCCAGGGACTGGGAGCTTCCCCACTATCACTCCCTGAGACCCTAAAGCACCGGGCCACCGTGTTGAAGAACGAGGAGGAAAGGACAGGTGGAGAAACAGCCACACCAAGGTCACACCTACGAGATGTAATTCCCAGGACTCCCAATGGGATGAGGGGCAGGAGGCCTGTTCCTCCCCAGCAGGATCTCAAACCAGAGCTGGGGTGCCTGCCCCCGAGACGTGGGGCAGGCCAGGACATGGGGTAGTGGGGGGCCAGGGGCTGCCCCACAGGGAGCAGGTGGAGGGGCTGGGGTGGGCCCGGTGCATGAGGCCAGGCGCCCAGACAGACGGACGGGTGGACAGCAAAGGCGCCGAGCCAGCTCACTGCATGTACGAGTAGCGCCAGTCCCCCAGAGGCTCATGCGTCTCCTTGATGACCTGGGGCGACGTCCAGCGCAGGATGTAGTGGGGCCCCCCCGGCTTGTCATTGGTGCCTGTGGGAGAGACAGCTCCGTTTTTCTCCAAAAAGATACAATAGCTTGGGGCACAAGGGGAAAGGGGTGGGGAGGACAGAATAAATGGGGTACCAGCGTGGGCTGCAAACAACTAAATAAAACAAAACATGTTCACAGGGCCCACAGGTCCCCAAGTGCATCCACGGGGAGCGCCCTTGGCCAGAGGGCGGGTGAGGCAGGGGCTGTGAGCAGACAGGACGTCGACGCTCCCTGGTCCGTGCGCCCCGCCTGCCTTTGGGGGCCTCGGAGGAGGGGAGCACTGCGGACAGCGCACTGGCACTGCCACCGGGCTGCTCGAGGGACCCTGGAAAGTCCCCACCCCAATCCGAGCCTATTTCCCATCTGTAAACAGGAAGGAGGTGGGCTGAAGGGGCCTGGAGCATGTTGGTCCACGCCGTTCGTGCTGGATTCAACAGCCAGCTCTTCCACTTCCTAGCCATGCGCCCCTGAGGGAGCCACTTCGCCACCTGTGCCTCCGTGTCCTCCTCGGTAGAGTGGGGAGGAGAACTTAGCACCTTGGCCCACGCGGTTGTTGAAAGGATTCGGGGTGCGCACGGTGCCCGTCCCGGACTGCTCAGGGAAGGGCGCTGTTCCCACTGCTCTTGACGTGAAGGGTCAAGAACAATGGAAATGAAGGGTCCCCAGTCTCCCACCAGATGCTTGGCTCCCCTCGGGAAACAAAGGCTTACTCACCAGAGGCTCGAGCCCCCCCGAAGGGCTGCTGGCCCACCACCGCGCCGGTGGACTTGTCGTTGACATAGAAGTTGCCAGCAGAGTACCTCAGCATCTCTGTGGCCTCCCGGACGACGTCCCTACAAGGCAGGGCAGCGAGCTCACCCACTGGTGTGGCCCCAGGTTCCATCTCCAATACCCACCCTGGCCTAGGCTGGCTGGCCAGGGGAGCACTAGGCCCAGCCTGGGACAGCGACAGGGGCCAACCACCAGCTGTGGGCCCTCAGGCCGGATCCTTAGGGTCTCTGAGCCTCAGCTTCCTCCCCTGGAAAGGGGGGTGGCACGCCTCCCTTGCAGGGTTCCTGCAAGGACTGAGAATGTAGGTCAGGCAGCATACACTCAGGGGAGCGGCCCCTCCCAGTCCCATTTCCCTGCCCCTGGGGAGCTGGGGAACCCCCAAGACCCACCCTGCCCCCCAGACTCACTCCCCTGTCCACTCTCTAGAGGCAGACAAGGGGTGGCACCTGGGCCATAGAGGGAGGAAAAAGCCAAGTCTCAGAATGAGCACCTGGCACCCAGGTTAGAACTCTGCCTGTGTAAGATGGACAGGTGCCCCTGGCCTTGAGCCTGGGGCCCACTCCGCAGCATAAGGCCATGGCCTTGCTTAGATTGGAGGCCCCATTGGATCGAAGGGGCAGGTCAAAAGCACCCATTCCCCGCCCCTCCTCTAGAGGTCCAGATTCAATAGTGGGGCTGCAGATTCTGCACTTTGACAAACAGCCGGGCTGCCTCTGTGTACCGGTGCGTGGAAGGCCTGCCTGCCAGTCAAGGCTGAGGTGGGAGGGAGGGGAGACAGAAAGTAGGGGTGGCTTTGTAGGATCCATGTCCTGGTGTCCTGCCCACACCCTGGACAGCACACACCAGGCCCAGAAGAAGGGCTGCAGCCACTCACTTATCCTGGGCGAACACTGCCCCCGTGAGGCCATAGCTGGTAGTGCTGTCGACCAGCCGCAGCGCCTCCCTGTACTTGTCATCTGGGTAGACGTACACAGTCAACACAGGCCCGAAGATCTCCTGGGAGAGAAGCCTTGGTGTCAGCCCCGGTGTCAGCCCCGGGTGGGACCAGCACCGAGGCCTCCCAGCCTGCTCTGGCCTCTGCCTCTGTTCTCAGTCCCTGGTCCCCAGGCCTCAGCCCCTGCAAGGGCCAGGTACAGTCTCCTGCTGGATTCCCTCAGGAGCACTGTGCCCAGCTCCTGCCCTGCCCACCCCACTCCAACCTGGGGAAAGATCCGAGGAAACTTTCTGCCCCACTGCCAGCCAAACCCACACCCAGAGATACACGGGAGACTTTTCGCAACAGCCAGTCCAGAACTGACTGACATAATCACTGTCCCTGCTGCCACCAAGGTGCATTGACCTCTCAGAACCTCAGCTTCTCAGCCATAAAATAGGACTGGTAATACCCCCCCAGCTCAATCAAGTGCCAGCTATAGCCAGCCCACGGCTGGGTCCGCAAATGTCAGCCACGAGGACCCCTGTGGAGGCCATGGGCTGTGGAAGTGCTTCGACACTGCACCGACTCTGGGTCAGGAGGCCTGCGCTCAGGGCTGGCTCTGCTCCCACTGGGTGTGAGACATTTACTTTCTGGGGCCTCACGTTCCTCATCTGAGCAATGGGGTGACACCCCGAGAAGAAAACCATGAGCCCGGGCCCTGTGCATGCCTGGTGTGAGTGAGAAGCTGGCCTCCCTCGTGTCCCAGCCACCTGCCCAGTCACCTCCTTCATGATGGGGTCCTGAGGGTCCTTGCTCTCGACAATGCAGGGCTCCACGAAGTAGCCCACGGAGTCATCGCACTTGCCCCCAGCCAGCACGGTGAGGCTGGGCGAGGAGTGCGCATGCTCCAGCCACTTCCTGATGCGGCCAAAGGCCTGCGGAGGATGGAGGGGGGTGTCAAGGACCAGCTAGGGGCCATTTCCGGAGGCAGCCCTCCCATACACTCCCCCCCCCACACCTGTTCTGAAGGCCTGACTTCTGAAGTGGGGGCGGGGAGGCCGAGGGTCTGTGTGAGCCCTGACGGACACATGGGCAGATGTGCATGCTCGTGTGCCAGTGTTAGAGCTGTGGGCACACTCACACCCATGTGACAAAACACACGGATGACGTAAAGGTACACACATATAGCCATGTCTTTGTTTAAGCTTTGTTTGAAGATGCACAGGGCGAGCAAAGTGGGTTTATAGTACATGAAACAGTGTTTATGCATGCACACCTACCCATGCCTCTGCACACATGCAAACACGCACATGGATACCTGTGCATGCACATATGTGGGTGGGTTTGTTCATGTGTCTGTGGCTGTGTGTGCACTTATGTGGAAAGACTGGCATGCACTCCTACATCCAAAGGTGTTCATGGGTGTGCAGTATGTTTGGGTCTACCCACACAGATGTGCACACCTGTTTGTGTCTGTGCATATGAACACAGCACTTCAAGGGTGCATAGCAAGCGCCCTTGAAGTGCTATGTTCATATGTTTATAATTGTCCAATTCTCTGGTTGGACAAGTCTGCCCTTTGCAGCTGGAGGAGAGGGTGGCAATCTGGATGCTTCCCAGAAGCGGTGGGGCTGGTCCGTCCCCCAGTCAGGGGCCCCCATATCTCTTCCTCCCTCTCCACCCAGGCCAAGGTTCAGCTCCCAGAACAGCTGGGTTCCAGCCTGTACCTTGGCATCAATCACTGCGGAGAAGAAGGTCCCAAAATCTTCTGCGGGCTGAAGGCAGGGAGACACCAGAAGAGATAGAGTTGCCACAGGCCCCCAACAAAGGGGGCCCCTTCCGCACACCCCAGCCCCACCCGCTCAGGAGCCTCCAGCCCCCTCACCCGCCCAGTGGGCCCAGGCAGGAGGAGGGCACCGCTTACGTCGCCCACTTTGATCCGGCTGTGCTCCTCAAGCAGCCGCTGTTTGATCCGCGGCCACAGCGAGTGCGGCACGTAGAGGCGGGAGCAGGCCGAGCACTTCTGGCCCCCGTACTCGAAGGCTGAGCGCAGGGTCCCGCTCACCACGCTGTCCACGTCGGCGGAGCGGTGCACGAAGTGGAAGTTCTTCCCACCGCACTCTACAGGGGCCAGGGCAGGGGAAGAAAAGAAACAGTGGGCTCCCCTGCCAGCCCAGGGGCCCACCACACTGCCTACACCTGTCCCTGGGGCCCTGTGACCAGCCCCCAATTATGGGCAGATGAGAGGAGAGGCACAGGGTTAGAGCTGGACAACACCCAAGGAACCGAAGCACCAGGCCTTTTCTTCCACTCTGACACCCAAAGGTGGAGAGCATCAGAGGTCACCAGGACCAACCCCCCCATTATACAGAGAAAAAACTGAGGCCAGGGGAGGGGTGCTGCCCAATATAATGGCAGAGGAAGGACCACTCCACTTCCAGAGGTGGGCACAGCTGTCTTGGAGCTTCCCTAACCCCACCAATCCAGCGAGAGAAGAGGGGGCCACTCCTGTCAACCGCCAGGGCTCCATCTTCCCTATCCACGGTAGCTAATTTGCTGAATGACACATGAATGAATGAATAAGAAACACACATCCTGAGGCACAGGTGCTCTGCACGACCCCCAGGACCTGCCAGAGCAGCGGCTCTGCACCTAAGGCCCCAGGGCTCAGCCCCTGCAGGGCAGCCCCACCTATGGCTGCCTTGCCTTCTCCTCTTTCATGGAGGCCAGGGAAGGGACGAGTCCCTGGGCCAGAGGGGAGGGGGCAGGGAGAGGGGCCCTTACCTCCAGCTAGGCGTGGGAAGGTACGAAAGCGATCCAGGTTCTGGGCTACCTGCTTCCACAGGTGTTTAAAGGTGCTGAAATCAGAGGACAGGGTGGGGATGAAGAAACTGCTTGGGTGCCTGAGAGGGTGAGGGTCCTGGGGGATGGGTGAAGGCCCTGCCGGAGAAAAGGGTCGGAAACCCAAGGGAGGAAGGCCAGGGTCAGCAGCCTAGGAGGAGGTGAGCAGGGGTCACATGGGGGAGGGGAGGAACCCAGGAGGTGGGGGCAGCTGGAAACGGGCAGCATCGCAGGCCTATGGGGAGGGAGCAAGGCGGGGCTTGGCGGCAAGATGGTTTGGAGAAGGCCAGGCGAGGGGCGGGTACTGGGTTCGAGCTCTGCCTCAGACACCTGTGGTTGTGTGATCTGTTGCTCATTACTTAACCTCTCTGAGCCTCGAATTCTGCACCTCATCTGGGAACTGGGGGAACAGTCCCACTGGGCAGGGCTGTTCCGTGGTTCACTCCAGTGAGAGTCAAGTGCTTAGGACAGTGCTGGCAGACTGGGGGGGCCTGATGGAGGACAGATGCTGTCGCTGTCTGGGAGCCACGCCCCTAGCCCAGCACCCAGGCGCCAGAGGCTGAAATGAGGAGGGTCCTGAGAGAGGAAGCCCAGGCCCCCCCCCCCCCCGCCTCCTCCCTGGGCTCCGAGTGTGACCAACCTCAGCACCAGGAAACAATAAAAATGCTAATGGCCAGGGAGCCAGCGACACAGCAGCTAATACTAATTTATGACTTTCCCTCCTTTAAGCCCCACGCTCACTAGAGCATGGCAAATGGGGCGAGGCCGCTCTGCCCGCTAACAGGCCGGGACCCATGGGGCCCGCGGTGGGCAGAACAGGCCTTTCGGAGAACAGCCCGCCTCAGCGATTCTAAGGCGGCCATCACCACCCTGCAAACCCTGGAGGGAGTGGGGGTGGGGGAGCCTGGGGCCAGCAGAGAAAACCACTATCCCAGTGACACCTGCAAGGACCCCGGTGCTGGCCCCAACATCTCCACCCAGGCGACCCACAGGCACCCAAAACACAAAGTGACCAAATCGTGGGTCATCTGTGTCCTGACCTTCCCACTGCTGGGCCTTCCGGTGCTCACCTTGTGAACAATACCCCCCTGCCCCGAGCCTGGACATTCTCATTGACCCCCAACCCCAGACAGGTGATCGAATCTCCCTGCTCCTTTCTCGCTTGAACTGGCCCGCTTTTCCCTCATTCCCACTGTCTCTTCCCTGGTTCAGGCCCTGCCCAGCCTCCTGCTTCCAGCACAAGTAGTCTGTGGACAGAGCAGCCAGAGCCACCATTTAGCGCAGAGGCTGCAGACGCAGCGCCCAGAGAGGCCAGCAGGGGACGACAGAGGCCGACCAGGCAAGCGGAGACCTGTGGCCAGGCTGTGGTGGAGCTGGGGGAGCCGCCCACCTCTGGCCAGTGGTGCCACGTAGAAACGCAGGCCCAGGGGACCCAGAATGTCCAAAGAAGCCACTGTGTGGATTTTGACATGAAACTGTCAGAGTGGTACAAGGTTGGCTCAAAGAAAACAGAACCACTTGCCAGCCCCCCCCCCAAGGAGCTACCATTTGTACTCTGCTTGAACTCTAAGCCACGCCCCCAGCGTAAAACCTTTGCTGTCTCTACCATCTTCAGGGTAAAGTCCAGACACCTGTTAAGTCACGGGGCCTTAGAATCATGACTAACATCCCCAGAGAGGCGGGGCCTTGTCCGCTCCACGAGTTCACTGCTGGGTCTTAGCATGAGCAGAGCCCAGATGAACAGGTGGATGAACAGCAGTCAGGACCCAACCGTGTTTCACTCCCACCCGCACCCCCCACTCCAGCCATGTGGAACCACCACCACCTCCCAGAGCACAAGAGCTTCAGCGTTAATCCTCTGTGTCTGCTGTTCCCTCTCCAACACTCCCCTGACCTCCTCACCCTTTGCCGGGCCAACTCTCAGCTTAGATGCCACCTCCTCCAAGAAGCCTTCCTGACTCTCCTCCAATTTATCCCAAACTCCCTTGTGCCCTTCCTTTCCAGTGACAGAGATGGCATCAAAATCGGTATCGCCAAACACCTGTAAGTTGCTTCCAGCCCGTGAAGTTCTTTCCTGTTTAACTACTTCAACCCCCGTGGTTACTCTACAAGGTAGGGATGTCGGTCCTGCTACACAGGTGAAGAGGCTCACCCCCAGCCACACTGCAGGTGAGTGAGCATGGTCAGTGCCAGACCTCTGGGTTCATCGCCCCAGCACCTGGACGGAGGTGAAAAGGTGGTGGCCCTGTGAATGTCCCTAAAGCTCCCCCTCCCATACCCCAGGGACTTACGGCACGCTGCCCGTGAAGTTGATACCACACAGGTGCTCTGAGCTGGTAACAGTGTCCCCAAATGTGGGCCCGTCGGCCGGCACAAACTGGATGATGTTGGGGGGCAGGCCAGCCTCCCGGAGGACGCGGTAGACGGCATAGCTGGCCAGCACGGCAGTGTCGCTGGGCTTCCACAGAACCACATTGCCCTGCCCGGGAGACACAGTAATGACTCAGGCCAGGGGACACCAGCCCTGACTCCACCCCACCTAAAAGCATGGTCACCCCTCACCTGGTACCACCAGGCCCCTGTGCAGGTCAGGATGTCACCCACCCAACCCCACACCTCCAGCTGGCAGGCACTATGGTCTAAGAGCCCTTGCCAACATGACCACAGCAGCCCTGCCTGCTCCCGCCCGGGCCAGGCTCCCATCCTCTGGAGGCCTGCACAGGCTGGTGCTGCCAGCACCCCGCGGGCAGCTCTGTGTTCTGGTGCTTCTGAGTGCTGGGTGCTCCCTGGGCGCGGCCGGGCAAGTGCTCACAGGGCTCCCGCTGCACGTGTCCCGGCGAGGGTACGTGGGCGACGGGTGTGTGTGCACTGAAGCACGAGGACGGCCCTGTGCGTGAGTGTCCCTCAGATCGCCCGGCCACCCCGAGGGGGGCCCAGGCCCCCGATGACTCGCAGCCCCTCTGCCTATGACTCCTCAAGCCGCCCAGGCCCTCTGCAGGCAGGGCTGCAACCACCCCATCAGGCTGGAAGCTCACGAGGGTGGTAGCCACCTTCACACCGGTAACAACAGTGCAGCCCAGTGACCTCAAAACCCAGCCTGAATCCTCATCTGCCCCATCATTCACCGACTGTGCCACCGTGCAACCCTGACAAACCAGTCACCAGGCACACAGCAAGCATTCAGAGGTGAGCTGTAAGCATCACTGGGGGTGGGGGTGGCCCACAGTCAGTGCCCACAGTAAGTTTTTAAAAATCATCATCATCACCAACAGGCACCACACGCTTGCCCGCACGGGGCCAGACCTGCCTGGCATTTGACGTGCCTGGTCTCGGCGGCTCCTCACAGCCCTGAACTGCAGGCTTCCCATCGTCCCCACTTCGCAGATGAGGAAACTGCCTCAGTGCAGTGCGGGGGTCTAACCTGGGTCACCTGGAGCAGGCGAAGCCGGGATCTGAACCAGCTGCTGACCCCAAAACCTCTCCACGGTCCCATGCCGCCTCCGCCCTCCAAGCTTTCCCCATGACGAGGCCCGGGACCCCGGGGCTTCAGTGTGGCCCTTTGTCTGCCGAGATGGGACTGATGCTGAGCTCCTACCACCCCTGCCCACTGCCCACGACTCACCATCAAGGCCGGCGCCCCCACCAGGTTGCCGCCGATCGCAGTGAAGTTAAAGGGGGAGATGGCCGCCACAAAGCCCTGGAGACAGAGGAGGTGGTGAGGCCACGCTCGCGCCATCCAGCGCCCCCTCCCGCCCCGCACCTGTGGGTACCTCCAGCCCCCGGTACACTGTGCTGTTGGTGCTGGGCGGCACGCTGAGGGGCTGTTCCCCCTCCAGCTCCACGGCAAACTTGGCGTTGAATCGGAAGAAGTCGATCAGCTCGGCCGCGGCATCGATCTCCGCTTGGATCACTGTCTTACCCTGCCAGGAGGGAGGGCCAGGGACTCAGCAGTGGCAGACATGCCCCGTTAGCCCTCACGGAGACCCTGTGCCCGCGGTGGCATCGTGGGCAGAGTGCTGGCGGCTCCTGCCCGGGATGAGTGCATGTCCCCACTAGGCACGGTGGGCCAGGAGCCAGGAAGCCTGGCGGCTGTCGACATTTCCTTAGACTGTTCTTCCCGGTGGTGAAAGTGAACCACAGAGAAAGGGCCGCAAGAACGGCCCCGCCTGGCACCCAGGGTCACGGGCAGCTGCTCAGCCTGCTCAGGACCCAGAGCCAAGGAGGCTAAGAGGCACCGCCCCTACTCCGCAGAGCCACGGCACTTCCTACAAGCCCTTGAGTGTTCAAACAAAGAGGCACCTCCATCTGGTCTTCAAAGTGTCTCCCTGCCCAGTGTGGCTCACCGGGCGCACCCTGGAGCCTGGCACCCACCCCGGGGGCTGCGGAGAAAGTCAGGGACACTCGGCAGGTGTGGAGTTATTACACCACCTCTGTGCAGCAGGGGGACCGTTCTCTGCCGGAAGGGCTGCCCCGAACCCCCAGGTCTGCTTGCTGGGGCTGGTGAAATCAACCTTTTCTCCCTGCTCTGCCCCTTTCCCAGCACTCTGGGCTGCTGCTGCCTCTTGCTGGCTCAAAGGCGCTCACTCAAAAACACGGATCAGGAGCTTCCACGGCTCCAGGAAGACATGACGCAAGGCCGGGAAAGATGGAGGACATTAATGCGTGTAACTGTTCCCAAAAAGTTTGGAAAGAGGTGCCAAACACACAGGAAATCACTGCGCCCAATGCAATCTGAGCTGTAACTGACAGATGAACAGCATGCTATGCAGCGGGCCTGATCCTTTTGGGCAGAGAAGGTTCTGGAAGTTTCATAGAGGAGACACTATCTGGGCTGGCCCTTGACAGGTTACGGGACAGAGAAGAGTGAGCATCCCAGGCCCAGGGCAGAGGCAGAAAGAGGGGACACCCGTGGTGTCCAGGAACCTCACTAGGTCCAAATAGGCACCATCCCTGGCAGGATGACCTGGTGGGAAGGGCAGAACAGCTGGCGAGCTGGATGGGGTGGGAATGCAGGGCCCTGGGGTGGTGGGGTGGGACTCAGGATCCAGGATGGGAGTCTCAGGGACAGATCTTGGTGGCACGTAAGCCTGGAGTGACCCACTGGAGGTCTCAGAAAAACTGGAGGGCTGCAGGAGTTTCGCTGAGCCCAGAGGTCTGCACAGGGCAATTGTAAGTCCAGAGAAAGCATGACGGAGGCCGGGCCTAGGGTGGGGACAGATGGGCGAAGGGCGAAGGGCGTTTCCAGGGCAGGACACACAGGCTTAGCACAGAGCACCTTGCCTAACATTCCATATGTGTCTGTTCCCTCTCCTAGGCCTTGTCCCTGGAGGACACCTCGGAGTCACCAGCCAGCAGCAGGGGTCTGGGCACCTAGAAACTGCTCGGCTGACATCAGCCGCAATGGAAGGGGCACAGCTGCCTCCCACCCAGCTGTGGCCGTAGGCGCCTCACCTGTCCCACCATGGTCTTGGCAAGGACCTCTGCCCGGCGCAGCCCACTCAGCATATCCGCTGCCCGCAGGAAGATCTGGGCCCGGTCTGTGACAGGCTTCAGGTCCCACTCTTTCCTGGCGGCCAAGGCAGCCTCAATGGCTTTGTTGAGCAAGGCCTAGTGAGGAGGAAAAGGTTGGGGGCTTCTGACTGTGGCAGGAAGGGTCCCGTGGGAGGAGCGACAGAGGACAAGTCTGGAAGTCACACTCCACCTGGAGGGGTGGGGGGCCTCTGTGCTCCCTCCCCATAGCTGCCAACACTGTGTCCCACGGCCGGCCAGGCCACCCCAGGCTTGGAACCTGTTCTGCTGCTGGTCTGGAGACGTCTGACCTGCCAGCCGGGTCAGCACGCCAAGCACGCGGCACGGAGGCCCTCAGTTGCTAACCCTGCTCCATGCTCTCCTCTGGGCCTCGCCGTACTCCTGGGGCCTGGGGCCTCGCACCCACCCCCCAGAGCCACCAGGCCTGGAGGTCAGGGCCCTGGTCTTGCCCTCACCAGGCCAGAGCCACAGCCCGAGATACACAAGTGCTGTTGGCATCCCAGGTGTCAACAGCCCTCACGGCCACACAATGCCAGCTCCCAGTCTCCATGCCACGGGTCACTCCCTCCCCTCTTAATGGTCCTCCATGATCATGGTTCCCTGTTGGGCTTTGCATTCATGATGTCTCCAGATCTTCCAGACTCAGCCTTCCAGAATCTATCCCCCACCCCCACCTGCTCCAGACACCACGTCAGGGTCATGGCAACTGGCCTAACTGGGGATGTCCCAGCCCTGACAAAAGAGCCTCCACTGGGCTCGGGTTAACCACGCATGCCTGGCCCAGAGAAAGACGCCCGCCCAGGGACGCCCTCAGTCCCAACCACCCCAACTGCACCCCCACCCCATCTGCACGGCTAGAGGGGAACCGTGTCTGACCCCACCCCATCAGCAGTCAGCAGACCAGACCAGACCAGCACCCTTACCTCAAAGTCGCCAGGGACTCACCTTGTCTGCATAGCAGAACTTGGCCACCTTGTGTCCATGATTAAAGGGCTGAAAGGAGACAAGAGTGAGGTCACTGCCGGGGGAGGGGGGGGAGGGGGCTGGCACCAGGACAGGGTGAGGCTCAGAGCTGGCTTTCCAGGTAGGAGCTTTCAGCACAGCCGTTTTCTGCCCCGTGGCCCCCATGAAGCGTCCAGTAGCCTGGCGCATGATGACCTCTGACCTTGAGGGTCATGGGGGCACCTGCTGTTCTACAAGTGAGACTTGGTTCCCTCTCCAGAAGGCTCCCAGTCCAGGAGAATGGCACAGATCACAGTCTTTCAGAGAAAGCGTGGACTTTGTGGTCAGACACGGGTTCGAATCTCCATCTGCCTCCCACTAGCTACGGGGCCCATGTAAGCTGACTCCCCCTCTCCAAGTCTACCCATCTGGAGGATGGGGACTCCCTGCCTCCCAGCAAGGAGAGGAGGACCAACTGGGGTCACGGGCGGAAATTCTTCACACCCCGTCTGGCACAAGGCTGTCACTTGGTGAGGGGCACTGCCACCCCTCGAGGACCAACCCAACACCCTGGTACAGCAAGGTGCTCAAGACCCCCGCACGCCCCAAGGTCCTTGCGGCAGAGCCATTGCCTCCAGAGCCCCGTGCATGGGACCCAAACTCACTCACCTGAAAGGGACAGCCCTGACGCTGCCATGCAGACCCTGGCACCCCTGGGTGCCAGCATGGGCGTAACGTGGGGAGACACCTCCCTTCTTCCCCACCCAAGGCTGGCGATGTGTTTCACACTGTAACTACCAACACTCTGCCACCTGTTGTCTGCCCACAGACTGTGTGGGGCCTTCCTGTCTAACATGGCAGCCACTGGCCATGTGACATGTAAGCTCAGTTCCTCAGCTGCACGAGGCACGTGTCACGCGCTCAGTAACCACGTGTGGCTGGTGGCTGCGGAGCAGACGGCACGGATGTAGGACGAACCCACTGTCAGGGCAGAAAGTTCATCGACTGGGCTGTGCAGCCCAGGTCTCAGTAGAACACGGCCCTTCCCCCTTCATTTAGTGCCTGGCACAATCACCTGTCTCCTGTCCATGCCTGTGGCTAGCCTGTGACACCTAGGGGTCCGGGAAGGCAGCTAGTAGCCAGGGTGATTGCACCCTTCAATTCAGCATGTCTGAATGGACTACGGACACCCCAAGTCAGCAGTGTGTCTCCATGACATTGCTCCTGAGGTGTCTGCAGAAGGAGCCTTAGCCTCACCTGGCCATGCCCTGGGCACTTATCTCAAAGGAGCTCACTGTCAGCTGCACCTGTGGTTCCCAAGTGCAAACCAGGGCTTTGGCGGCTGCCCTTCCCTTAGAAGGGTGATCTTTAATTCTGACATTCTATCCTTGCTTCCTACGAGAGAGCGCTCCACGAGGCCATTTTTCTAAAGCGCTGGTGGAGCTGCACCTTGTATGCGGGCCTCAGACTGCTCTGGAAGGTGACGTGCGTGCGTGGAATCCCCAGATCTGAGAGTGGGCTAAAAAGCCTCTGGAGGCAGAGATCCCACCTCACATGCTCACGTGCTGCCCGAGACAGACCCCAGATTCGGGGAGGGGCCGAGCCCTGCCCACCCACCGCACTTACCGACACCTGGTACTGCACGTCCGCAGTCCACACCTCCTCGTCCCCCACCACGCACGGGATGGCTTCTGTCCGGCCCTTCAGGTCCTTCAAGGCCTGAGGAGAACACAAGATTCCCCTGTTCTCCCACCTGAAACTCGACACAGAGTCTGCAAGTGCAGACACCCTGGTGGGACCGGCTGGGCCAGGTCTGTGGCTAGAGATCGTGTGCTCCCCTGGGGGCAGCAGGACTCGGCCCCTCCACTGCCGCCTCCTGTCTGTCCTGCAGGAAGGGGAGGCCTGATTTGTCAGGGTTCCTGTTACAAAAGAAGACCTAAAAAACTATACCTGCGATGTACGTGGAATCTCACCATTTTTAAATTACTAGTGATTGATGGGACAACATGATGAAGCATAAAACGTCTACAAGCTCACGGCCCCTGACTGGCACTGAGGCCCCAAAGGGGCCCCAGCTGCCAACTGGCTGCTCCTGGCCCCTCCCACACCCCAGACACGGGTTTCCTTCCAGGGCTGGGAGCAGGGGCAGGAGCTGGCAGCGGCTGCAGGCACAGAGCAGCATCTTGAGGCTGCGGAAGGCTGACTCTGCTCCACGCCCTACACCCGCTAGCACCCTCCTCCTTACCTTCTGCAATGCAGCTCGCTCGGGGCTGCCCTGCGTGAAGGTCAAGATGGGCTCATTGGCTACCTTCAGGGAGGAGTTATGTTTCCACCGCAGCCTGGTACAAAGACGGAAAAGGGAGGCAGACAGGTCAGCGGGGACCACCAGAGACCCAGCCCCTCTGTCTCCAACAGGGGATCCTGGAATGGCCCAGGATCCTGAAATCCAGAGCAACTACAGAACTGGCAGGGCAAGGCAGGCCTTGAGGTGCAAAATCCAAGTTCAAGTCCCAGTCCTGCTACTGTGTGCCCTTGGGCATGCTGAGCTGCCTCCTCTGAGCCTGTTTCTTCTGCCTCTAGGACGTAAGAATAATGACAGAACTCACATGGTTGTTTGAAGTTTAAATCTGCAGATGCAAAACCATTTCTAAAGCGTTTGCCCATGGAGAGTTTATTTCCCTTCCTTTCCCAGCAATGCAAACTTGGTTCCAAAACAGACCCAGTCACTTTCTCTATGCTGAAAAGGTAGGACATCCCAGTGCTGGGTACCCCCAGCACTGAACCAGCTGACAGTGCCAGGTACAAAGACGTGAACTCAGGGTGAGCAGGAAGTCCAAGATGTGGACCATGAACTTGGAGGAGTGCCCTGCACTCAGTTCACAGAGATGGGGAGGGCCGGTTTGGGTGTTCAGCGTCAGAGTCCTGGGTGCTGAGTTTCGAGAACCCCGTTCTGGCACTGTTCTTCATTCTGGAACCCGGGACCTCACTAATAGTGACTGCCACCCCTAACGTGTCTGGGCTCACAGGTGTGAGGATGCATGGGTAAGACATTAGGGTCAGGCACCCCGAAGCAGGAGCCTCAGCTGCGGGGCTTCCCCGCAGGCCTCAGCGTCCTCGTCTGTAAATGAGGACTTTAACGACAAAGGCCACCTAACACACGCAGGGCTTGTCAGACTTCAGGATGCCTCCCATCCATCATAGACAGGTTGAATGGGGCTCACCGGCAGCCCCACTAAAGAAATAAGGGAACTGAATATCCTAAAAGGGAAATGACTCGTTCCAGACCAAGATGAGGAGAGACCTGGATTTGCATCCAGAAAAAACCCAGAGATCATCCCCTCTGGTGTCGACATCCGTGGCCGGAGGCCGGCAAGGGCACCCCTGCAGTTGGACAAGAGGGTTCCTATTTGATGCAGGAGGGATAATGCACATCTCGGGGTGCAGGCCCTCATTTAGCAAGAGGGGAGGTGTCTGGTACTCTGGGAGTAGCACAGTGACCCTGGTTTCCTCTGGGCCTACACAAAACTAGGGCAGGTACTGCTGCACATCACTGCCTCACGGCCTCGGAGGGACCTGGCTGAGGCCTGTGCTTAGTAGGCTGGCTCATGCCCTGCAGGAGAACAACATTTTGTCAGAGGCCCTTTTCCCTTCCTCAGCGGGAAGAAGTCTGGGGGCTCACAGAGCTACCCCCGGAGGCCCGGAGGAAGTGCACGCGAAGGGCGCCATGAGGGCGTGTCCCGCCATCATCGTCCTGGTTGCTGACCACCTGCTGCCTCTCTACTGCTGTTCTAGACCCTGAAGACATGACAGCGACAGAGACAGCAGGGCCTCTGGCTGGACGCCACTGACCTCCAGTGAGGGACACAGGCAAGAAATAAACACTAACAGGACAGAAGGGACCCGAAAATGAGTGGTGTAGCCACATTACCCAGGGGCGAGGACCTCTCTGAGAAGGTGAGCTTAGCGAAGACCAGGAGGGGGTTTGAGAAGAGCTGGGAGAAGCGGTTCAGGGCCAGGGGAGAACAAAAAGGGGCCTGAGTGTGTGTGGGGGGAGGGGCTGAGTCACCCAGGATGCCCAAGGGCAAGACACCGGGCAGACCTTTTCCCTCTTTCTCAGGCCACACCCATCAGGCCCAAGGAAGCCAGTCACAGGCCTCAGGCCCCACCCTCCCCACCACAGGAAGCTCAGCTTCCCAGTCGCTGTGTGACCTTGGGCAAGTCACTGACTAAGGGTGCCGCCCATCTCATGCGGTTACTGTGGAGGCCTGAAGAGATACTAATGCTAAGCCATAGGGCTGCTCAATAAATTAAAATCCACACTGCTCCTTCCACCCATTGTAGTGGGGAAGGGCAGGAGGCCAGATGAGACCAGCATGGGGAGGATGGTGTCTACTCCTAGGGACATCTGGAAGGTTCCGGCAGCCCCTCTGGGCCTCAGGAGCAGCATACCACCACTAATCAGTAATCAGATATGGCCAGGTCCTCTCTGAACCCAGAGAGTGCGGCTGAGCGTCAGCAGAGGAGGAGGGATGGGCTGGAGCCAGGAGCTGGGTGCCCCCTGCACCCCTCTCCGAACCCAGGCTTCTGCTGGGTGGGAAAAGCACGAGCTCTGAAGCAAACATATCCCGGACCAAAGCCCACACCTGCTCCGAGACCGCAGCCATTACTCTCAACGCTGCGGGCCTCTGCCCCTCTCCTGAGAGATGCGGGTAAGCACAGGCCCCTGCCCTTAGGTTTTTCTAAGAAAACAGCAAAGGTCTTTCAGATGGTTACTGTGCCATGCCAGGCTTTCAAAGGCAAACTGGTCCCCAGACACCCCGGAGACAGTCAGATGTTGGCCCCAGTCTGCACCACGTTCCACCCAAGGGCAGGAGCTGCAAATGCCGGTGCTCCCAGCTCTCCCTTCCCTGCTCCCTCCCAAAGTCCCGCAGGCCCCACCGCCCCCAGGGCAGAGGTCCACCTGAGCCCTGGATCACAAACCACCAGGGTTTTCTCTAGGCCTGCAAAGTCCAGGCCCTGTCACAGCCATTAGTCAGCTGAGTGCAGCTTAGGGGACAGAGAGACTAGTTCAATAATCAGTCCGAGTCATCCAGAGCCAAAAATCAATCGATGGATTGAGAAATCCAAGGACTCTTGTCAAACATGGCTTGTTTGTTTTTTCTTTTTTGGCTCAAGGGCCATTTGGAATTAAGAGGAACACCCTTCCTCTTAATTCCTTGGGAAATTCATGCCTCGGGAAAAGGTGTAGATAGATCACTCGCAAAACCTGGGGCCTCAGGGGGGCGGCCAAGGCCTGTCCAGGCGGGACTGCGCTGTCCACTCAGGCACACGTTCACTCCACCTCCAGGACTCCGCGGGAACATAGCGAGGTGGGAAGGGCTCGCATGGTTCCTCCCCGCAGGTTTCCTGAGCACCCACCGGGTGCCTGGCTCTGGGAGGCAGAGGTGACCCCACCCCAACCTTCCCACTGCAGGAGGGAGGCACACGGCAGAGTCTGAATTTGACTCGGATTCCCTAACAACCTGGAGCGCCCCTCCGAGTACATGGGGACCTCACAGCCTGGGCAGGAGACCTGAGCTGCCCCCCACCCCACTCCCGACCCCGTGTAGGTACCAGGATCACAGCTAAAAAAGCCACATCAAAACATCCCCTGACAGGACTGGTGTCAGGGCAGGCCAGAGCTGCGGGCGGGCCACCGCCACCTCAGAAATTTGCAGACGGAAAAACTGCGTAGAAGCGGGGCAGGGGTGAGGGGAGAGCTCAGTTTTCCCCCTAGGTTTCCTGCGTGCCACGTCCTGGGACACAGCACCACCAGCTTCTGCAGTGGCCACTCCTGCTCCGCTGTCTCCAAGCTACTCTCCAAATCTCAGCCAAAGTTACAGTTTTAAAGTGAAAATCCAATCATCGGACAGAGAAACAGAGGAAGCGCTCGGCTCCACACTACGCAGAGGCCTGTCTCTTACGTCATACAAAGCCAGACTCCTCACTGAGGCCACAGGCCCCTTTCCCGTGGCACCTCCCGCCGCGTCTGCTGTGGTCCAGTCACCCGGGTCACACTGTGGTCCCCTCTGCATGGGACACTCCTGACTTGGAGCAGGCCTCACACCACCTGGATGAGCCCCTTGGATCTCCTTTAGCCCTTCATTTTTCTCCTGACAGGGGCGCTGACCCTCCCCCCAGAGCTGACTAGCCGTTGGTGCTCCCACCAGGCCATGAGCTCTGCTTGGCCGGCCCGTGCCCACTCCATCCGCCACCAACACCCTGTCCGACCCAGGGTACGAATTTGAGAAATACCTTTTAGAACAGTTCACACCCAAGTGACGTCAGAGCTGACATGAGAACTGGACTCCCAAGCCAGTGCTCTCCTCCTAAGACCTGGGGCAGGACGCAGGTCCCCGTGGGCTCCGCAGGGGCTGAGGTCCGGGGTGGCCAGGGCGAAGAAGGGGAGTAGAAAGTAAACTACTCCCTGCTGCATTCCACACCCAGGCTTTTCCAGCTGTTATCTGGAAACTAATAAGGCTAATTTTCCTTATCACAGAAATAGGAGCCAGCAGGGGAAGTGAGCAGGGAAGTGTAGGCCCGGAGCAGATCCAGCAGGGAGGGGCATTGGGCCCAGGACACTTCCACTTTATTGCCCCGGAAAACGCCCAGGGACATTTATAAAGCACTTACCACAACCTGGCCCTAGGCCAAGTGATTATCTCGTCGGACCCACCCTAAAATTGTATTATAACCTCCACTCAGCAGCTGAGGAAACTGAGATTAAGAGAGTACATTACTCCAGCACTTCCCACCTGAGGTCGCACGGTGGCCCACTGGCACTGCCGGCTCAGCCCAGGGCTTTCATCCACAATGTTGTCTGCCAAGAAAGGGGGGTCTGGGGGGAAAGAGCTCCCCACAAAGGGCGGGTGTCTCCCCCATCCCCGGGGAAAGGCTTGTGTGCACATCAGGGTAATTAATTAGAGGGGAGGGAAAGGGCTGAGGACATCTGAGTTCCACACGTGCCACCATCCCTGTGCTGCAGGGACCCCCTTGTCTTGACGGTCCTGACAAAGGACAGTCATTCAGGGGAGCTCGCTAGTGGAGGAAGGGATCAGAATAATGACAGAGAAACACTCAGTTCTCTAGGTGCCAGACACTTGAAAGTGGTTTTCAGGTATGGATTCATTCACTCTCCAAGACAATCCTATTATCTTGATTTTCCACATGAGCGCAGGAGGCAGCCCAGAAAGGTCAAGGAATGTGCCCAGGGCCCTAGACCTGCTAACGCGTGGAGCCAGGACCCAACCTCACGCTGCCCTCTGCCCCTTCCAACAGGAACAGTTTAGCACCTGTAAGTGCTGAGCCAGGCGCTGGGCCCTGGAAGCAAGTGCTCCAGCGTGCGCCAGCGCCAACTGCTGCCTGATGGGGACTTTCTAGTCACTTCAGAAGCAAGTCCTAGGTTCACCGTAGGTTCCACTTACTCCACTATTCAATCATGGCAGAGTGCACCCCAGGGACCAGGCCCCCAGCACTGCACTGCGCTCCCCCCAGACACGTCCCGGGCCCTAACCTGGTAAACTCCAGGCCTGCCAGTGAACTGCCTCTGCTCTCTCGTGGCCCTGACTTCTGCCCTTTTCTCTATTTCATTCACTTTATCGTGGGTGTCCTAAGTTATGTCTTTGCAAAGAGCCAAGACACATATCTATCTTTATGCATAAATTTAACAAATTAAAAAAAGAAAAACTAGCCCAGGCACGTAGTAAGTTTACAATGAATGTTCATTTTTGTCCCTTACCTGCTCTTGTACCAGGCCCCCTAGTTACGCAGGGAATAAAATCAGTAAGTGTGATAACTACGTGTGGTGCCGAGGGGAGCCAGACATGGTGATCACTTTGGAAGGTACAGAAATGTCTAATCACTACGCTATACGCCTGAAACTAACATAACATGATATGGCCACTATAATTTTTAAAATGTACTTGCAGATGAGCTTGTTTTTATGTTGCTATTGTTTTTTAAGCAGATATATTCGTAGATCGTCAAAAACTATGAATTAAAATGGTGACAGTGATTATCTGTGTGGAGAGCTTATGGGGATGTTTGTATTCTTTTTGGTGTTATCTGGACTTTTTACTATGAACACATACTCATTAAATAAAAAGAAAAGCCAATCAAAAGTATTTTTACAAAATGGCTTCGATTCCTGGTACTCTGGGCAAAAAGGGAAACACTAAAGAACGTCACCTGCACGTGGCGGCTTCTCAGTGAATAATTCACTCTGGCACTTCCACCTGGAGTCCAGGGGGGTGGTCTCAGAGTGCAGAGAGGCCTGTGAATGGGACAGGCTGTGCCGAGCGCGGGCCCAACCTTGGCTCGGGGGAGGAGCCCTTCTCTCCCCCGACTCTTCCTGTGCCCTTTTCTGCCCAATCCCCACCCACTGAGGACACACAGCAGTCAGTACTGTGTGTCCTGAATTCCTGCCCAGTGTCCTTCTATGCCATCCCTCAGGACATCAATTAAATCAGAAAAGGCCTAGCTCAGCAGAAGAGACAAGCTGGCCACAGGTCGAAGGGGCCAGGCCAGCAAAACTCAAACAGGGGGCGGGGCTGCTCAGCTCTGAAAGGGAAACACGGGCCCTTAAGAGGGCAGCCTCCCCAGACCCTGAGCCCCTCCTTAGCAGGGTCTGTGTCTTGCCTCCCCCTTCAGCCCACAGCAGACAGGGGCTCCGAGAACATTTGTCACTGAGTGAGCAAGGGTCTAGGGAGCCAACACCACAGTGTGGGCGTTTGCAAATCTGGATTTGCAGGGCACCTTCGCTCTGCAACCGCACCTTGTCTTTATCGATAATTTGAAAGAAAATGCCGTCTACCGCACTGAAGGTTAAATACACATGATATAGACTATCATGACAATAACTGGGCATTGCCTAAGGGCCTGCCACCGTTCAATGCACTTTAATGTATTAAGTCATTCAGTCGTTACAATAAAACATTTTTGGTAAAAAATATACCAAACGCCCAGCACAGCGTTTGGCACATTATAAGCACTCCATAAACATTATTCCACCTACCACAAGAAAGGAGTCCCTTTTCTGCCCCACACTGAACTTGAAAAAAAAAATGGGGAAGAGGGAGAGAGAGATAGAAATCCCCGTAGAGAGACGAGAGAGAAGACTGGGAATTCCAAAGGTGGGTCCTGAATGTGAGTCCGAGGGAGGGGAGGGAAGAGTGTGGTGTGCCCAAAACAGAGGTCCCGAGAGGAAGCCAGCGCAATCTGGGAGTGGGCACATTTTAAAGATCTGTATTCGGAGCAAAACAAGTGCGTAGGAGGCTATTCTCCGAGCGTGGGAGCTGGGAGAGCACGGAGGCACAGCAACCGGCCTCAGGATTCGGGAAGAGGGTTCCCCTTGCTGTAGGAAGAAGACTTGGGAGTCACAGTGGGAGGAAGACCTGGGTAGCGGCACTAAGCACTGCAGGAAGCGACCTGCGTGGAGGGGAGCCCCTGGGAGTCCGGCAGGGGCGGAGTCCCCCTGCAAAGGACGCCCAGCAACTCCGGGGACCCCGGGCCAGCAGCGTCGCCCGGGGCCTCCCTAGGCCCTGTGCTCACTCACCTGGCCCCACTCCACAGGCAGCCAAGCAGGACACGGCGAAGAGTAGGTTGCAGCAGCATCTCCAACTCCAGGTGTGGTTGTTTGCAGAACCCGCCACCCAAAGCGCAGCTAACCTTGGTGCCCCACCCGGAGCGCACTATCTCGGAAAGAAGGGGATTCCGGTCTCTCTAGCCATCCTATGAGTCAGGGTCAACGGAAATATCTTTATATTTTCTCATGTCAATAAGTAATTTCTTTTTTTAGTGCATGAGAGAGGCCCTTACGCGACACAGAGCAAGAAAGTACAAAAGGGAAGTCTTGAAATGTACACGTTTCTCCCTCCTCTCTTTATGGTATGATCCAGTCGCATTCTTAAGCCCAGGCCTGGGGCGGAGGGGTGGGGCATCGGCCAATCAGAGTAAAACATGTAAGTTTCTGGGCCAATCAGAGGGGTGGTCCTGTCGCAGTCTTCTACAGCCAGGGGTGGAGCTGAAAGATCCAATGAGAGAGCGGGAATGGTACAAGTGTGGGCGGGGCTTAAGGTCCACCGGTTTGGGTTGGTTTGGGTTTGTGTTGGTTTGGGTTTGTGTGTCAGGCGCAGCAGAAGTCCTAGCCCTTTGGCCGGTGGTTATCACTCCTTTTCCCTTGCAGGGACAGGAGTGCATTCCTGGCGCGGGATGGGGGGCGGAGGGGGGGGGGCGACTGCGGTTCCTGGATCCAGCTCTCTCACCCGGACCCAGTCACCCTCCACCTCCCGGCCTGGGGCTGGACCACTCAGCTTCCCGGGGCCAGGCGCCTAGATAAGCAGCCTGACTCCTTGAAGACTGACATCTATGAAGAGAAAAGCTGAGCTGGTTATGCCTAGCTTTTCTTTCAGAATTTCTGGCCCCGGAACCAGCTGCTCCTGCACTTTATTCCCTCCCCAACCCCCTACCTCGGATTAAAATTTCAGTTTTCAATTGGAGAAGTTTGGTGAAGGCTTGAAGGTTATTTAAAACAGGTTCTGAAGCTTTTCTGATGACAGGCATCTATTCCTAAACTACTGTTCCAGCGTTTCTTACACTCTCTTCTAATTTATCTGTTTATATTTCCTCCAGCAGCGTGTTCCAAGAACCTGCTTAGTAGTCCGATCCAATCCTGATTGCCGTTCCTCCCTGTCACAATGGCAAAATACAGAACTTCCTTGGGCCTGTTTCCCTGTCTATAACGTGGGGGGAATGATGCACACCTTAAAATGACTTCATTATCTCATATTTACTCTTTCTTCAGAAGATCACACTCAGGGAATATAAACAGTTGGTAGTGGGAAAGAGAAACTACAGTAAGCTTAAGTCTTGGATATGGTGAAAAGCAAATTGGAATTGGTGGTGGTGCTGCAGGAAAATGACACAACCAGACACCGAAAGATTTCTGGAATAGGAGGTTTATTGACATGCATGGGCCCAGAGGAGTCAGTCTCCAAATTCTGAGCCCTGAATAAAGGGAAAACAGCCATTTTATAGAGTGGGGGGATAAGAGCAAGGGGGAGGCCTGTCCTTCAGACCAAAGCAGGAGATATTGTATAGAAGCAGAAAGCAGAGTGTTTCACTATCTCTGGTATGTAGGCAATAAGCTAGAAGAAACAAGGTAAATCACTGGGCTGTTAAATATCTGGGATGTAAAAAACAGTCCCCTAAATGCTGTGCTATATTTTAAAATAGCTATAAATTTTCCCCAACATCCTCCCCTTTTATGCTAAACAGCACTAGTGCTTGTTTAAGCATAACAATATTCTTCTTATAGGAATAAACAAGCCCCCGCTTTTCCTGGATTCAGAGCATTGATGAGGTTTCTTTTCTTATTTTTCTCCTCCTGTGACCTACTATCAGGGAGGGGTTCTGAGGCCCCTTTTGTCTTCTGGATTATTATATACTTCTTTGTAGAACTACTTACATAGTCCTAATAAAGCAAACAAAGATTCAGAACAAAAAGAATACAGATCGTGTAAAGACTAGGTATTTCCTCCTGCTATCGCCTACAATTTCAGTTTCATTATTGCAAAAGAGCAGTCAGAAACTAAGTTTTTTCAACTTAAAATACTTTCATGTCTTTGCTCTTTATTTGCACTGTCCTAACTCCGGGTACTATAAATCAAGAAAGAGCATACATCTGTGTTTCAGGCTGCTGGCATTGTCAACTGTATCAGGTAGGATCTTTAAAGATCTAAATCATGCAGCATGATTTAGATTAACTTTAGATTATCTAAAGTCTTTAGATGATCTAAAGTCGTGTGGCATTCTTTCTCAGTCTACTGGCAAGAGTTCTTTTATACCAAGTTTCAGTCAAAGTCTCTCCTGCTTTCTAGGCCACGTGGCCAAAGGGGGCACCCCAAAGTCTCGTGGGCCTCCTCTACCAAAGCTGCAGGGGTCTGTATTCTACTAAAAGCATGTGGCTTTCTTCTTCACCTGGCTGTAGGGATCTCTATTCTGGCAAAGCTGCGTGGTTTTCCCTTTTACCTGGGAAAGAGGGGGTCCTTACTCCGCTGAAGCTGTGTGGCTCTCTCCCACATGGCTATAGGGATCCTCACTCTGCCCTAAACCATGTTGCTCTCCTCACCTGGGCAGTTATCCCTTCATGTCCTGGAGTCGATCTTTTCTAAGCTCTCACACAGGCCCCCTCCCGAGGGGCTCAGTCCTTAGTTACATCCTGGGCAAGTGACTTTATCCCCCAGTTCTAAGCTTGGCCACACTATTTAACATATCTACGAAACCAGCCAAAGGTTATAGGTATGTCAAATAATTATTCTAGAGGTCAGCTGCAAAACCGTTGCTATGCAATACAGCTCTCAATGGCCCTACTCCATTCGTCCTTTCTCCCTGGGGGAGGGGTAGGATATCTCAATATTTCTTGGACACCCTGAACTTCGGACTTTATCCCAAATCCTTTCTGGGGGCCCCCCCTTGGCTGCACCCCATATCAATATTCTTCCTTTCAAATTTATATGTACTTTATAATTATATAAAGGAAAATGGACAAAGGTCTCATCTTCTTGTAACTGCTTCAGGCTGGAAATGGACACTGTCCTACCTACCCCTGGGTCAGGGGTGCCCTGAAAAGGGGGGGGGGCGGTGCAGCACGGAGAGAGCCCTTCCCGTAAGAGGAAAGACCTTACAGGGTCCTGGTCAGTTGGCTGTCACCTGGACGTTGCAGGCTTGGTGTCCAAAGGCTGGTATTACTGGACTGTTGGCATCCTGGTCAGGTTGTATTCTGTAGGTGACAGATTAGGCAAGAAATTGGAAGTACAATTAAATTATAACTATTACATGACAAAGGCAGGGACTTCAGTAAAGAATGGCTTATCTGGAGGAAGGTGCACAAGGCACGCTACACCTATCTCAGACTTTTGTGGCCCACTATACTTTACTCAGGCTGAGGGGAATACATTAGAATTTCCCTCCTTTCAGATTTCTGAGCCCTTTCTGTCCAAGCTATCAAGGCAGAAAAGGGAAAATCAGTTCTAAAGTGAAGCCCACAGACCGCCCTAACTCTTTATTAACTTATTTAGTTCAATCAAACTGTTGAGTCTCCAGGGGCGATGACAAAGATGGGCTCCTTAGGTGAGGCCTATATTGTAACTAATTACTCATAGGCATAGGCAGGTCATAGGCATACGCCCTATGAAAACAGAAGAACATACAGGTTAATTTATACAATAATCTCTAAACCAGTCTCTGTACTTGTCAGACTGTCTTTTGGGGTGACATTCTATTGCAAGGTCTTTCTTGCAATGACATTTACTGTGGCAATATGACAGGTCCTTTGCACTTGTATATTGTATATCTCTGGTGACATCGCAACCCTGGTTTCAACTCTTAAATGAAAACAAGCTTTCGAGATAGTTAGTTGTGCTATTCTGATGTCTAATATTGAGCATTGTGATTTTCCTTGAACTATAGTTTTTCTCCTTAAGATCACCCTCACTGTTATTACAGGGACTACTTTGGGTCCCGCTTTTGATTTTGACTGTTCATTTGCATAAACACACCAAGAGCAGCCTGGATCACTCATGATCCTTAAGTCCGCTTTGCTGGAACTCACACAGGGAACTTTCAGACTGACATCTTAGTCCGCCCCTCGGGGCACAGAAGTAGAACCACACATCTGCAGTCTGGCTTCGCCTGTACCAGTTGTTTTATTTAACTCCTTGAGCCTCTATTGTGCTTATAGGTTCCTTTTTAGCCATCTTTCAGGAAAGCAACCTTTATTCCTTCCCTGGAAAGACCGGCATGAACTGTACAACCAACCAGAGTACCAGGCTTTTCTCGTGGGCTTTTGCTCGCTTTACAGGTCAATCCCAGTTCCTCTGAGCTTTCTGGTAATGACCAGAACCTATATATGCCTCCTTCAGGTGTGACATTCCAGTCAAAGTCCTGGTTAACAAAACTACTATTAATGACTGGTCTTATTGGTTTTATGTAAAGAAACCTTATATTATTATTTATTCCTTCAGAATGCCAAATTCTGGAGGGATTAGGTAGGGAGAAAAACACAAAGCTTGAAGGAAAATCTTTCTCCTTCTAATACCTATCAAGATGTATCTCTATGCCTTACACCTTCTATTACTAACACTACATAATTGTTTCCAAAACTTTCACATCTCTATTTATTTTGATAACTTCCTACAGACTTTCTGCAATATTCACAAGCTTTCTATAGCCTTTTTACTTATCTAGATTTATCCATAATTCACTTTTAATCCTTGTTCCTTTCCTACACTGGGAAGGACTGTACTTAAACTTAGTATCTGGCAGCTAAAGTCCCTAGCACTATAGGCATCTTTTACTAAAAGTCCCTGTTTGCAGGGACATTTGCACCTTTCTGAAGTTTAGACCTTGCAAACACTTTATAACTTAGATGGTCACTCTTGGACTTCAGTTCGTGACCTTCAAAACTAAAGCTATTCTTATCAGAACCAGTTACACAGAGAACCTGACTGCTGCGGTGTCCACACAGCAGCAGCATATAGCTCATAATCTGAAAAGAAGCCTTAGCCAGTTCCAAGATGGTGATGCCCATGAATGCTCTGTCCTCCAGGTGGGGCACTTACGTGGCTCATCTATTTTATCTACAATGGCAGTACCCCGACTCTGGTCCTGCCTACCTGTGAAGGTCCCAGGACTCCGGTTTCAGGAACCCCGGAAGCCCCCAAGGCCCCTTCCACCTGTGGGTGTGGAGGCACCACAAAGCCACCCTCCACCCATTGGGGTGGTTTACTGAGGCTGCAGTCAGTAGTGGAGGCGGGGCAGAGGTCTCGCCAGCCTCTGAAGTGGGGGCCCTGCGGCTCCGTTTTCGGGAGTCAAGGAAGCCTCTGCCAACCCTTGGTTCGGCAGGTGAGCAGAGCCCACTTGCAGAGGCTGCGAATCCGTGGTGGAGACTTCTCCCACCTGCAGGGCAGGAGAAGCTGTAGTGGGCCTCACTTTCCTGGAGGGTAGCGTCACTACCGGAGCCCCTGCTGTCTGAGGTCCCCCTCATCCATTCTGGGGATGGAGCGAGGCCCCCCTTTTATCTATTTTGAGGATGGGAGGAGGTCTCCTAAAGACTAATCCACACGGGGCACGGCCCCAAGGGCTAGGGGCACTCCCAAACCTAAGCAGCGCCAGTGGCAGCAAATCAGTCCAGCCTCCCAGTGGAACCCAGCCAGAGCTTCCCGGAGAGTCCGGTCCATGCGCTCTACCCTTCTCAAGCTTTGGGGTCAGCACGCAGTGTGCCTACTCTGCCCCGACCTGCGCCCCTTCTTGAAGGACACCCAGCACCCTGTCCTAGCCAGCAGCTCAAACAGCTGGCAAGGGCCCTCCCAGCACCGATCCTGGGCCAGTGTGGCTGAAAGGAGGCCACCCACACACCGCAGCAACACTGGGTTAGTCTCCCTCCCTGTGAACGACCCCAGATCTCTGGCCAGTCCCCCGCCTGTGAGGGGAGTGGGAGAGTCTCTGAAGCCCTGTGGCAGTCCGGTCTGGGTCTAAGCCAGCTAGGCTGAGGACTGTAGGCGCCTGCAACCCTGGCCTTTGTCACTTGCCAGTGGGCTCCTTTTTTTTTTTTTTTTTTTTCCTTTTCAGAGCAGACACGGAGCAAAATCCGAAACACAATTTCAAAACAACACACAGGTAGAGGCACTCTCTTGCACTAATGCGTTCACTGGTGCCTTGCAGAGGCATACTCCTTCAGACCCGGTCTCATGGCAGAGACAGGCTGCTTTGTCTCAGGCTGAAACACACATCAGACCTAATTAACCCTTCCTGGGCAGCAAAGATCAAAAAGTAGATAACATTTCAAAGAGGTCTGAGGGAGTGTCTGTCAGGAAGAGAGTTGCAGAAACCCTGGGAGACACACCCATCCCCTCTTAGACCCTTATCATATCAATGAAACACTCCTAGCAGAGCCGATTTCACAGGTTTATCAGCAAGTCTTTGCGACGCCAGATTTTCCCCAGGACACACTCCAGCAAGGCAAGGAGCTGCACCTCTCCCTAGCAGGCATTCAGGCCTCAGGAAGTACTTCTCCCAGAGTATATGGGGACTCAGGGCTTTGTCAAAGGGGGGGGGGGGGGCTCAAGAGTCCATTGCTCTTTGTTATAGCCCCCCCCCCAGTCCTTCCATGAAGGTCTCCCAGGTGATCGAGTCTGGCCTAGGTTGCCCCCCCCCACCCCGCTGTGAGGGGTCCCACCCGTTATTGACTTCTGACCAAGCTCTGGGGACAGGGAGAGGAAACTGAGGCAGCGTTTGCTACTACAGACAAGCTTTGTCTCCTGCGGCTAGCATTCCAGAGGTTGTCTCTTGCCCTTAGCCCCAGGGGGTAGAGGTACAATTCCTAAAATCAGTCAGAGCGGTCGTCAATATCTCCCTATTCTTGTTTATAAAATTAAATCGAAATAGGCCTGTGAAATCTGCTATTTGCTATTCTCGAATGCAATTACAAGAAAACAACTTCCATATACATCATAGGGTACAAACAAGAATTAAAATAAGGCATTCCCGGGTTGTTATAACTCAAACTCCTAAATTAAGTCAGTTGAAAAATAATATAAACGCATGGGAAAGACAAAAGTAACAGGTCTGGTCACATTTCAATTTTGGGAAGAATTAGTACAGACTTCACAAAGTTAAAGATATACAGCAAGGGCTAGTATCTGAACTCAGGGTGAGACAGTTCAGCATGAAGAATCTGAAAAAACTCCTGCTTGGTTAAGCGTTAAATGTCCTGCAGCATTAATTTAGTCCCTTTAAGTTGGTAGGAAAAGTCTCTCTTAGGTGACCACTCCAGGGGTGTTGGTTGGAATTCCACACAGCTTGGAGAAATCTGGATCAGGAGAGTCTAATGTGTGGAGATGCGTCACCCGCTGGGGAAGTCTTTTCTGTGATATGGCTTCACTCTCATCACCTGCAGTTCTAAAGTTCATTCCGAAAAACAAACAGCATACCCTCTTCTCCAAGTTAAGAGTTAAAATGGCCAATAAAATTAAATTTGGGGTGGGGGAAGGCTCAAGACTCTCCCTTTTTGTTTGTTAAAGAGATTTTTTTAAAGTATGATGAGCCCGTTTTACAATTGCCAGATTAGTTAGATTGTAAGGTCTTTATTGGCAAATATCTTAGAACTAAAAATTCCTCACACCCCAAGACCCGCGCTTGGAAAACCAGCTTCAACGCTACCAGCCCCCCACCCCCCCCCAAATCTTACCTGTTGCTAGGAAACAGAGCTGGCGCTGCTGGTGCGGCCCTTCCAGCAGGGGGCCACTGCTCTGGTCAGTGTTCTCAAACTCTTTGGTAGTAGCGCGCCTGGCGGCAGCTGCTGTTGATGCACTGGAGTCCGGCCTGGGGCCCTGACTCCGCTTCTTTATTCTCAGCTCTGTGACCCTCCTCCTCCTCTCCCTCCCTCGCAGGTGTCTCGGACTCAACCCTGCGTGGCAGCGTGGCAGCGGGTCACCACCGGGGACACGCATCCCCGGGGCGTGGCACGGCGTGCGAGACTTGGCCTCAGCACAAGCCGCCCGGGCCGAGGGGGGGGCCGCGAGCGGCGCGAGGTGGAGGACACTCCCGGAGGCGGGGAGGCGGAGAAGACCGCGGCCTCCTGCCTGCCCTCGGGGAAACCTCCTCCTCCTCTGGGCCCCACAGCGCGACCAGCCCGGGGCGCACTGGGGACAGTCCGCCCTGCCCCTGGCCTCGCCGGCCCCCAGCCCCTGCCCGCCCACCCTGTCTCCAGGGCTAGGGAGGGGAGAGGGAGGGGATGGGAGAGCGGTTACGCCGTGGGAGGGGCAGCCCCGCCCTTTGGCAATCCCGATTGTCCGGGCGCTTGACCTGAGGAGATAGCCCCCACCGGGCTGCCACCTGGAAGGCGCTGGCGCTAGGAGCCCAGCCCCGCCTCTAGGTGGGGATCAGGGGGAAAGAGGAGGGAGCCTGAACCCTCTGGGGACTGCTCCGGGTGCACTTGCTTCTCCAATCAAAGAAATTCTTTTCTGAGTTTCAGGTTCACTTATACAGCTGAGAGGGCTCGGAGCGCTGGATATGAGCTTACCCCCCGAGCCCCAAGATTCAGTGCGGACACACAAAGGGCAGGGGCACATTCACTCACACTTTCACTCTCAAGCACTCTGTATTTAAACAGTCCCTCCCCCCTAATACCTGGTGGCTGGACTGGAACCAACCTAACCGGTGGTTGGACTCAGCATGAATCCGACCCAGATTTCTGATTTGAGGTGATCTGCCTCTCTCCGGTCTCGGGTCAGGTCCCTGGGGCTTTTACCGATTTGGCGCCTCTGGTCTCAGGTCAGGTCATAGTCCGAAACCCTCGCTTCCCATCTGGAGTGAGAGCCGGTGGCCGTGGGCCCCAATCGGGTGGGGCCTGAGAAATCTCAGGGTATGTGCGCACCCATTTCTCCAGTTGGAACTCCGGCCGCCACTTGCTTAACCAGGCGGCAGCAAGTTGACCCAAATTTGTGTAAGGTCGTTTCCCGGCCAATGCACCAAATGTTGCAGGAAAATGACACGACCAGACACCGAGGGATTTGTGGAATACGAGGTTTATTGACATGCACGGGCCCAAAGGAGTCAGTCTCCAAATTCTGAGCCCTGAATAAAGGGAAAGCAGCTGTTTTATAGAGTGGGGGGACAGAGCGAGGGGGAGGCCTGTCCTTCAGACCAAAGCAGGAGATAATTTACAGAAGCAGAAAGCAGAGCGCTTCACTATCTCTGGTACGTAGGCGATAAGCTAGAAGAAACAAGGTAAATCACTGGGCTGTTATACATTCGGGCTGTAAAAAAACAGTCCCCTAATTGCTGTGCTATATATATATATTTTTAAGATTTTATTTATTTATCTTTAGAGGGGAAGGGAAGGAGAGAGGGAGAGAAACATCAATGTATGGTTGCCTTTCGTGCGTCCCCTGCTGGGAACTGGCCTGCAGGGAACCTGCCTGCAACCCTGGCATGTGCCCTGACTGGGAATCGAACCGCGATTGTCTGGTTCGCAGGCCCGTGCTCAATCCACTGAGCTACACCAGCCAAGGCTGCTGGGCTATATTTTAAAATAGCTATCAATTTCCCCCAACAGTGGCTGTCTCTTTGTCCTTGAAGAAAACCTCAGTCGGGTAACCCAGTTCATACGGGGCAATTTCTCCCTGAAGAAGAAACCACAACATTGGACAATGTCAAATCCAGGGCCTGGGGGCTGGGGTGGTCTCATGGGCCATGCGAGAAAACTTATGAAATGGGAGTTTGGTGATTAACAGGGCTGCCATTCCAAACCAGGTGCTTCCAATTACTCAGCCTGCGCGCTCTTTTGGCTTTCTCTTCCCCTTTTGTAAAATGTGTATAATAAATCCTGCTTGTAAAGATTTTATTGTGAGATGCAAATGTAACAGGTGATGTGAAATTTCCCTGTTTTATCATGCACGGGCTAATTAGTTTGTATTAGTGTTTGTATGAGCCTCAATCCTCCTGGCCCGCCCCTAGCACCACCGCTTTATCCTCCATTAAAAAAAAAAGTACACCATCAATTCTAAGACATTTCACTTTATTTAAAAGAAGCCAATATACAGGATATAAAGGGCATGATATTTACAACAGTACAGTAAACAGGTTGGTTTCCTGGTAGGATCAGTAGTCTTTCAAATAGTATAACCGCCACCCCCCACCTTGATGCTAGACCCAGACAAACACCAACAGTGGGGTGGGATGGGACCACGAGACAGGGGGTCTCCCCGGACGGGATTGCAAATCACAGAGATGCTAAAATGTCCACAGAGGGATCTTGGGTGCCTTTGCCTCATTTCTTTGAGGGCTTGGCAGCAAGAAGAGTGAGGGATTTGCCCCAAGACTAACATATAGTCCACCCTGAGCCTGGAAATCACCCACCCATGGAAAACTCCCTGCAGAGAGAGCCCTCCTTCACCCACCTGGTCATCTCCAGACGCCCACTGTAGAAGAGTGCCCTTCTAGGACCAGAGCTTGGAGTCTCCAGGTAGAGGATGTAGGTCTGGGGGAGCCCCCAGTACCCCAATCCCTCATCCTGGGCCCTGAAGGAGCTCATAGACTGGCAGCCCAGGCAGTGGGCACACAGCCAGGACTGTGGGCGCCTCGTGGCACTTCCACTGTGGCACCGGCTGCCTAGCAGCCCCAAGGAAGCGGTGTGGTACCTGAACCCAGAGCCCTGTTGCCACCCACACTCTCCCAAACCCAGCTGATTTGGAAGTGGATCCTGGCATAGTTCGAGAAGCCAATCAGAGCCCACTCTCAAAGCAGCTTGTCCCCTGTCTAGGGCCCCCTCTCCCTCCCCCCCCACCTCAATTCTGAATTCCCCACTGGCCACCCACTCCCACAAGTGCCCTCCCCGCTAAGACTTCCAAAAACCCAGGAGCTGGGAGATCAAGATACAGGGAAATGGGGTGAGGTGGGGTCTATACTCTGCCGAAGCCGTTCATGGGGGTGGATGAGTAGGTGGTGAGGACAGGGGGACAGGGAGAGGGGTACCGATTATACAAAATGCAGCAGCAACATGCATCACGCCCACAGAAAAATGCTGGGCAACCACAACTGCCTACCCTAGATTAAAAAACCCTTCCTTTCATAAAAATAGATAAGAGTATCTTGCTTTATAAATAGACTACATTTAGCTTAAGTTACGCCCTGCCCGAAACCTCTCCCTCATCCCAGGCCAGAGTGGTCTGAGTCTCCCCAACTCGACTGAACTGCATCGACAGAGCCAAGTCTGAGACGGACTTGCCCTTCCGAGACCCCAAGACATATTGCCACAAGAAAACAAAACGCGTTCATGAAGAGTGTGTGTGTGTGTGTTTCACAACCAGGGAACCAAAATGAATTGCTCTCCCTGCCCCTCCCCAACCCTCTCTTTTTATAAAATCCCCAAAAATAGGAGAGTGTGAGAGAGGGCAGACCAGGAGAGTCCACCGAAGAACAGCCTAAAATACCAGCGTCAATGTGACCCTGGGCTGAACAATAGAAAACCAAAGTCAAGTATTTACAGCTTTACAAAAGACAGCCCAGTGCGTCCCGTCTGGACCTGGGGCTGCCTCAGAGAGCGTTGGGGTCTTTCTTGGCAAGCCATGGGCTCACGGCGAGGGGACAAGCAGGGCCCACTGGCCACTCACTCAAAAAAGAACTTGGTGGGGGAGGAGGGAACCAGGCCAAGACCCAGCACCCTGCCCAGGAAAGAGGCCGGGCGCACCCTTGCTGTTCCGCCTTCCTGCACCTACCTGCCCCAAATCTTTGCTCCCCAGGAGAACATAGTAGCTATCTCAACAACCAGCAGGAAGAAACTTCTCAGCCAGTGCCTATCTCTGGCTCCTGCTCTTCCCATAGTCCTTGGACAAATTCAGGGTCCCGTATCCCCAACATTGACGAAGGGGAAAGCAAAACTAATACCTCTGGACGCCAGTCACCATGGCGACCTTAGTCACCCTCAAACTACACTGTTGCCTTGCCTTACTGTCTTAATTCTAAAGATAGGTCTGTCGCCCTCCCACCCCCTCCAGGAACAACCCAGGGCCGGCTTCCACTGGACCACACCCTGCGATGCCTCCCACAGCCCTGCACAGTGGAGGCCTCGGGGGCAGCCATGGCTTGCCCTGCCCCTGGAAACGGAAAATCTTTTTAGCAGCTGAGGTCCAAGCCCACTGGCTCTGATAACCTTTGGTTAAAATAAAGCTAAACTAAAACAACAATAACAATGAACAGCAATACTAGTCAGGTGTGTCTGAACCCTGTAACCTTTAGAACAAGGGTCGGTACGGAGGTGGGGAGGGGCCGTCTCTCCCCTGGAACCGCCGACCCTCCCTGTACCTACCGAGGGACTGTGCGTGTGGCGAAGGAGAGGCGCCGGGCCCGGGAGCCTCTCGCCCTGACCGCCACAGGCAACGGTCCAGTGTTCCCCCAATGACAACAAAAAGGAAAAATTAGGAAAAAAGATAGAGGCTGCCAAGTGCTGATAAATAAAAATAACACACCCTCACTAACACACTCTTTCTCTCTCTCTTTACATATATATATATATTCTGTGAATATTATGTACAGTGATTTTAAGACTGCAAAACAGGTGCGGGAAATGGAGGAGAAAGAAGGTCCTTAAAGGTGGTTGGTACCCTGGGGAGGAAAGACCAGGGCGGTAACCTACCCAGAGGGAGAACCCAGCCTCTGCCTCTGGACAGAAGCAATGGGTGGTAAGGGGTTCTGGCCCTGGGGCACAGTGTGCTCCTTTGACCTCCAGGGGGAGCTGTTGGGCCAACAAAAGCAAAAATTGGAAATCAGACCCACAGGAGTGGGTGGGTACAAATTTTTTTTTTTTTTGGTAAAAAGCAAAACCTGGTCAGCTGGCTCCAAGCTGAGATCTGGCAGGTGGCCTTAACACAGCGCCCTTCAACAAAGGTCCACTCAGGTCTTGGGGAGGACTGGCTCAATTAACTCCCCAGCTGGTCAGTCAAGAGAAGGGGAGAAAGAAGCTCACATCTGTCCAGCAAGGGTGGTTCTCACTCAAGCGCCAACTCCCGCCACCTCCGCTCTGCCAGCAGCCCTCATCGCCCGCCCCTCGTCCCTGTCCGGTGCAGGCCAGTGGCCAAACAGTGGGCGACCGGGGCCCATGGAGAAGCGAGGTGGCGGCAGGTGGGCCCAACAGGGCCCCAGTGAGGAAGGGCCCGAGCAGGCCTGGCTCCCTTAAGACTTTCTCACAGAGAAGCTGAAGCCCTAGAATGCTGTATAGTTGGCTGGAGGGAGAGGGAAAACATCAAGTCACAGGGCAGTAAAAGGTCCTCCAAGCCCACAGAGGTCCCAAGAAAGCAAACAGGCAGCGGAAGACCTCGAGGGACCCAGGCCTCCTTATTGACCTTGACCAAACCCCTTCAGAGGCTGCGAGAGACGCCGCGCTAGCCTTGGCCTCCCTCCCAGCTCCAGGGGAAAAATCATGAGTCTGGGAGAGGGCCTGCCTTTCACAATGTATAAGGCAAGCTGCTTTTGTGTGTGTGTTGTGTTTTTTGCATAGTGGTTTCAACACAGTGAGGCTCTGCCTCCCCCACAGTGCCTTGTCCCTCCGCTTTGCCACTCTATCCAAAAAGCAAATAAAAATTTGTCCTCCCTCCCTCCTTCCATCTTTTCCCTTTCTGATAAGTGGAAAAAACCTTGAGAGGTCCCCACCCAGGGGAGTTTGCGGAGGCAAACAGCTCTGTCCTGGGCGGAGGCGGGCCACCGGAGGCCCAACTCGCCGAGTGCTGGCCAGCAGAGGAGAGGAGGGCAGAGGTCATGGCCAATCAGAGGAGCAGGTGGAAGGGTAGAAAACCACACTATACCCCTCGGGGGCCCCGCACCCCGCCCTCACCTTCAAGTTTTGTATAAAAACACCTGCTAGGAATAATTCTTTGGAGCTCAAAGTGGCTCAGCTTAAGGGAAAAGGCACGGTTAACACTGCATCATCTGGACAGAAGTCTGCATTTGTAACATGGAGAATAGAAATTGAGAGCACCATTCCTTGGGTACCGGGTGGATGGACAGGGGGCACTGGTTGATGGGTGGGAGGGAGGAAGGAAGCAGCGGTCCCTTGGGGCCTCCAGAGAGGGGAGGGCAGAGGAAGTCTGTGTGGTGAGGACTGGAGCCCCACTCCAGGAGCCTTCCTGGCTTCGTGGGGAAGGGGGCAGAGGCCCCATCACCGAGCCCACCAGGCACCGGGGACTCAGTCATCAGCTGACCATGGGCTCCACGTCTGCTTCCCGCTCAAACTCGTCCTGGGTCTCATCTGTGCTTCCTGAGTCGCTGCTGGCCACAGAGCTGGGGGACGGTGAATTCCTGGAAGGCACAAGAGAATGGGGGACAGTCAGAGGGTGGTGGGAGGACCCCGGAAGGGAATTAAGGAACAGGAAGGGCTAAGCAGCCAGCCACTCCTATAAAATCTAACCTCAGAGGGGGACCCTGCTTTCCTTAGAATCTGCTGAGCTCACAGTTGGACGTGGCTCTCAAGAGCTTGTGGGACCTCCTGTACCAGCCTCTAGTTGCTCTGGGGGCTGAAAGCCCCTTTGGGAGCAGAGACCATAGATCAAGTTTGCTTCTTACCCTCAAACCAGCCAACACAGGTCTGGCCACATAGTAGGTGCTCACTAAACACCAACAAACTCAGCATGAAAGGGAGGCTGTACTGGACAGTGGTTAATAGCACTGGGTTCAAATTTTGGCTCTGTCACTGATGAGCTGGGGGTGCCTCGGTCAAACTCCGTAATTCGCCTAAGCTTCCACTCCTCCGCCTGAACCATGGAGATATCGGACAGTGGTTTCTGGGGGATACAGTGAGCTAAAGGTAGGGCGGGCTGCGTCCAGGGGCCCACACATAGCTGCCCCTCCCTCTTTTACAGCCTGAGCCACAGCTGGCAGGAATATAGTCACGATAAGAGAGACAATTACAATGAACATTCATTTGTGCTTCGTGCCAAGAATTTTACGTGTATCGATCCTATTTTATTATCAGCGAGGCTGTCTCCCCAAGAGGCTGCGTGTTCCTCAAAGGCAGGGGCTCTGTCTGAGTTGTGTGTCCTCCAGCAAATACAAGGGGCCCGACCCACTTGGCCCTGGGTTGAAATGTGGGAAAGGATGTGAAATTGCCTCCTAAGGACAAATGGGAGACCCGTTGGTGATGGCAGAGAGGAGTGCCCTGCCTCTCCCCACTCCCCAGTTCAGCAGAAAGCGGGGTGTAAGCCTCATGGGGCCAGGGGCTGGGACTGCCGTGTTCACCACTGTACCCCTATGGCCTTGCACAGCGTAGGCTTCCAACAAGTAGCTGCTGAGTGAGTAAGTGGGGAGAGGGAGTTATGTGAGATTAGATAGGTAACTCATCTAGCACAGAGTAGGACAGTGACTACAACATGCATTGGGTAGATGGATGGATGGGTGGATGGATGGACAGACACAAGGGTGGGGCAGATTAAACGGGCCAGACTTGTAAGTTGCAGCCCCACAAAGAGCCCCCAAGAACCCAACTGCTGACCCCCCAGGGAGGGCAGGGCCAGGCACCTGTCTGCGGAGCCTTTGATGAGCCGGCGGCAGGTCTCCATCTGCACGTCCAGGCCCCGCTTCATGCTGCACATCTCCATGTACTCGTGCAGGTGGCGGTTCATGTCGCTCTTGGCCGTGGCCAGCTCCAGCTGAGAGGAACCAGTGTGGGACATGGGTGAGGCCAAGTCATCCTCAGAGCAAAACCCTCAGCAGTTCCCTCCGCACCACCCAAGTGGGGGTGCCATCACAGTCGCCCCTGGACACCGTGCCCTCGGGGCCCTCCGCAGCCTCTGCTCTCTGCCTACCGGTCAGTGGCATCTAGAACTGCTTCTGGTGAAAAGGGAATGGCTGCTTAGCAACCACGAGGGTGCCCCTCCCTGACGAGCCCCACCGGGTTCTGCCAGCCCCGCTCTGCCCGGCATCCCTGCACTCCTTCCTGTGGGCTCGATCAGAAAAGCCCTCGGGTCCCTCACACGTCTGCCCCTCTCCTCTACCAAGCGACACATCCCCGGGAATGGAGCTCTTCTTTCTCCGGCACAACGACGGCAATGACTCTCACCGAGAGACATGGCCAAGTGCACAGGCTCTTGGGCAGAGTGGGCCAGGCTTGAGGGCTGTTTGCTGGCTGGAGGCCTTGGGCGAGTCATTTGGTCTCTTTTAGCTTCACGTCCCCCTATGTCAAACAGGGTGCTCAGGACCCACTGCCCCGGGGCACCTGGGTACCTCCAGGTCCATACTAGGGTGTGGGGAGACCAGGGAGGGTATACTTGAAAATGGCTCACTCAGTGCCTAGCGTCACTTGATGTCACTCAAATGTCAGCTCTCCTTATCTTGGGATCACCGTCCCAACAGAATAACTTTAAAACAACCTTTCTGGGGCAGACGAGGATCACCACCCCCATTTTACAGATTAGGAAATGGAGGCCCTCAGAGGGGTGTGGCTTTCCTAGTGCCAGGCAGGGAACTGGCAGGCCTTCTGACTTCCGAGCCTGTGGCTGCCCCAGGCTGCCCGCCTCTGCCCATGTGGCCACCACGTAGCCACCAGGGGTCTCACCCATGTGACCTCGGTCAGCTGCACCGGGGGACTGCACAGCCCGAGCCCTCACCTCTATCTGGCCTATCGTTTCCTGGTACTCCTTGTCTCTCGTCTTGAAGAAGGATTCCGTCTCATGGATCAAGTTGCCCAAGTTCTCCTCTTGCTAGGGAAACAGAACAGAGGGGACAATTTAACTGGGCGGTGGGGGAGAATAGGGAGGAGGGGCCTGTGACAGGAGGTAGCGCCCACCCACCCCCAGTCCCCACGTCCGGGCCCTCGGGAAGCCAGGCCCAGGGCTCACCTCGCCCTGCAGGTCGATGGACGGGTTGCAGTTGGTGAAGTCCTCCCAGAGCAGGAGCGTGTCCTCGTTCTCTTCCCACGTCAGGCTGTCACAGTCGTCATCAAAGTCGAAAGTCTCTCGCCTGTGGGGGTGACACAGGAGAGCATGGCTGAACTGGGACCAGGAGGAGAGAGGGCCGGGGGCCCCGCCCCAGCGGGTCTGTTCCTGCAAGGCGGCCCTCCAGAAAGACAGAGTGGCGGCAGAAGGACAGGCCTTACCCATGGAGGGGAACTTTTCTGCATTATATACACTTTAAAATGCGTGTTTTTAAGGTGCCAGGCTTTAAAATCAACGGAGACGAAAGGCATTTTTCCTCCCAAGTCCAGTCCTGTGATTCACTGAGCAGCTCATTTCCTGAGCCCCACGTTTTTATGATTTATATAATCTCTGCAACTTGGGATGGTTGATAGTATTATTCCCGTTTTATGGAGGAGGAAACTGAGGCCCGAAGGAATTCGGTAAACTTTTAGAACAGTACTCTTGAAAGTCAGATCTGAGTTCAAAGCCTGAGTGACTTCAGGGCTGCCCTGGTCACTAGAACAGGAAGTAGGTAGGTGACAGGCAGCCCATTCAGGTTTGCCTGGGCCTGGGGGGCTTCTGGAGAAGCTCCCAGTGTGGTTACCCCTGCTGGGGCTGGGACACCTTAAACAATTATTCAGTCCAACACTCCTACTAGTCACAGGAGAAAGCTGATACCAACAGAGTTAAATCACTGGACCTGCTGAATCAGCGGAGACGGAAGTGGGTCCCAAGTGTCCGGATTCTCATGGCAGGGCTCTCCCCACTGCCTACACCCCCTCCTTCAACCCCCTCCTGGATTCTCCCAACCTTCCAAAGATGGTTCAGGCAGGGGCGGGGCCACTGGGCAGGGCCCAAGAAGAAAGAATTTCTAGTAAAAAGCTGCCTAGAACACCCCCTGGAGCCAGATTTGTCTCCAAAACACCAGAGCCTCTAGGTGGCTCTGTGAGACCAGAGAGCAGAGCTGGGGCCGGCGCTGCAGGGCCGAGAGCCCCGAGGCTGGACTGGCTTCTGACAAGTCCCCAGGGGCCACTAGCACCGCATCACATACTCAACTGCTGACTTCACTTCCTTCCCATCGTCTGGGATCTGAAGGAAACCCCAGGCTGAGGACCAGGAAGTGAAAAAAGACAGGAAGATGGACCAGAGAAAGGGCTGTGAAGAGGCGACCCCACCCCGCCACAGACCTGGAGGGCAGGGCGAAGGAGGGGGGCTGGCCACAGTACAGAGAAAGTAGCAAATTCCTCCCCTTCTCCTTGGCCCTGAGCCCAAGCAACTGATGTGGATCAAACCAAACAGCCCTGACTTGGGTGCATTATTCAAAGACTTCAGTGGAACTGGCCCAGGGCAGTCTCCGCTTGGGTCTCTGTGTTGTCAGCGGGAGGGGGCCAGGCCCCACCCAGGGTGGGGTCAGCAGGGAAGAGGGCGGAAAACTGCAAGCTCAGAGGGGAGACCAGAGGATTTTTTTAAAATGTAGGCAACTTCACCACCAGAACAATCTAGTTGTGTACACACAGCCTGGCCCATGGAGCCCCCCACTTGGCCCTTGGGCCTGCCCCTTTCAGCTCACCCATCCCGGGCAGCCTAATGATTTCCCGGTGACTTTATGAAAATGAGGACAATGATTTCTTCAGAGAAGCCTTTTCATTCAACCAAATGATCCCACCCTGGGTCTGTGGGGGCCTACAATCCTGCCTCCTCCAACGAAGCTGAGGAGTGCCCAGAGCAACATTCAGAAAACCAGCCAAGGGTTCCCCCAAAAAAGATGAGAATAGGAGATTTTGAGGGGTGATGTCAAAGAGGAATCAAGAGTCTGGGAGTCTCCCTGTCACCTTCAAATAGCAGTCCCCAAGACACAGCCCGACCTGGGCTCTGCTTCAGGGGAGCCGCATGTCCAGGGGAGTGTGGGGCAAGCGCAGCCCCTCCAGTTCCCAGTCCCGCCTTTCTTCCTGAGTGGCCCGGCTCGGCTGCAAAGGGGCCAGGGCAGGGAGGGTGCCGCAGAGAGGGCCGAGGCACACCTCTCACAAGCATGAAGACAAGTAGCTGGGGACAAAGCACTGGACTGACAGTGGGGGTCAGAGTCCATCCCAGCCTCAGTTTCCGCATCGGTACAGGAAGGGGATGGGCAGAATGATGTTTGCAGTCTGTAAGGCCAAGCCAGCCCCAGAGCTTTACAGGAAGTCTTAGGAGAGTCCCATGCTCCTAATTTTTGAAACAACTCTGACGCCAGAGGCACGTGCTAAGAGGAGGGGGCCCTCTGGGGGGGGGGCACATCTGGGAGGTTCGGTGCTAGCCATCTGAGCCAAGATGGCAAACCCACCCCTGCTGTTAGAAACCTGGGACCTCAGGGGAGAGAGACATCAGGTCAGAGAGCTCACTCAGCCTGGGACTCTGATGCCGGGAGTGGGCGGTGAGTTGGGTGAGGGGGCTGGAGCTCTGGGGAAAAGCTGAGTTCTCAGGGCTTGGGTGTCCAACTGCACCTCCAGAGAGAGAGGGCAGGGGCTGGTCATGGGAGCAGGGGGAGAAGTGACCCCAGAGACCCAGCCCCAGCCCTGCTCTTTGACTCCAGGCCCTTAGACAAGTCACCCAACACCCAAAGTGGCACCTCTCCTCCTCCCCTCCCCCACTTTAGGGTACCACATGGATTAGAGTGAAAGCTGGACCAGGGTCGAGAACACGGACCTGGAGAGGCCGAGGCCACAGAGCATCCCTGCCCCAGATGACTCTACGCAGTGAGCTTCAGGTAAACCAGCTCTCCGCAGGGGTGGAGAGCGCAGTCCTGATGACAGGCATTTGCTCATTTTCCAACCTGGCAAACTTCAAGCTGCTAACGTGCCATCACTGAAGCTGGAGCAGGCAGATACGCGCCATCAGCTTCCATGAGTTGCTACAAGCTGGCTCCAACCCACCACCAACCATGCCCAGCCCACATTCTGCCGCCTTCAGCCCGGGCAGCATCGTAGTGAGAGAACCGCAGGCAGACGGGCTTGGCTCTGAAGCCGGCTCTGCTGCGTATTAGCAGAGTCATCTGGGCCACGCTGCTTCTGCTGAGTCTCAGTGTCCTCATCTACAAAAGGGGAGTGATGACCCTACCTCCTAGAGTGGGTTGTCTGGAGTCTGTAAAGTCACATTTGTAAAGCGTCCTGCAGACGGGGGATGCGTGGCCAGCGTGATGGGCCCGGTGTGCGGCTCAGCTCGGCCATCCCACCCCAGGAAAACCTAACGGGAGTGGGTCTCAGCCTCGGACAAGGCCCTCACCCAAATGCGACCACCACTACCCACCTTTGGGTCCTTCCTGAAAATGGGGAGCTCCCCAACGTATAAATGTCACAAATGAATGCAAACTTGTTCCTTATGCTGGTCCAACAAAACACACCTGCAGGCGACTTTCAGCCCAGGCCCCAGATATCTGGGGGAGCAGAGAGGGGCTCGCAGCTGGGACTACGGGGACATTCAGAACACTCACAGCTGGTTAAACATGCGTTTCATCTCGTCGGTGATGTTCATGGAGCCGACCTCCTCATCTGAGAACCGGTTCACCTCCCCGTCCTGCTCCGAGATGTCATCGTCTGAAGTCACCTTACGCTCCTTTTTTTTGGGAACCACCTGAGCCGGAAAGGAAGAGAGCAAGGTGACCAGGAGGCTCTGCCGGGATGGAGGGGCGGGGCAGGCTGGGAAAGGAGCGAGCATCCCACGGGGCAGATGGAGTGTGGCTGGGGCCAGCCACGCCGGGAGAGATGCACAGGTCCTCTACGAAGCAGGCAGCGTTAGCAGGAAGCGTGAGGCAGGGAGACGTGCGGGACGGAGGACACACACAGCCTGGACCCCCCCTGCCCTGCTGGTTGGGCCGGCTCAGCTCACCCCTTCACCAGAGAAGCCAGAGGGCCAGAGAAGCCCTCAAGGAGGCGCAGGTGGCTCCGTGCCACCCGGAGGCCCCCTGCTCCCACGCAAAGGCAGCAGGTGGCGGCCCCAGGCTCACCATGCCCCCTCCGCTCCAAGCAGACAAGACGCGAGCGAACCAAACAGAGGCTGAAATGGGCCCCCCTGCTTTCCAGCAGAGGGTCAGCGAGAAGGCCCAGAGGTGCACAGAGGGCCCAGGGAAGCCCAGAGCTCCCCTGGTGATATCCAAACACACACTTAAAGCAACAACACACCATATTGCCCTGCGCTCAAGCAACAGCCAAACCACAACCCAGACTCAAGAAGCAGCCTTCAGAAAATGGTGCGTGCCCTTTGGGCAGCTAGCTGGACTGGCCCCCACACCTTCCCCGGAGGACAGCTGCCAGCGAACCCATCACCTCTTCTGGGGACACACACACTTGCTCGCTGAGGGGGCGGGGCGGAGGCTGAGCGCCTCTTCAGCGGGAATGAAAGACAGTCCGAGGCCAACAGCTCGTGCCTGGAATTCTGTGGCTCATCGGCCAGGGCTCAGGGCCGCTCACCAGTGCACCCACAGCCTGGCCAGGGCTCCTCAACGGCACCCGGTTCTGGCACCCCCGAGGAAGAGGCCAGAAGCCGGACAGTGAACCCAGCGTGGGCAGGTGGACAAAGCCCTGCAGGGTCAGGAGACCTGAGCTCTAGTCCCTGGCCTGCCATTTCCTTCCTGGAGCCTGCCGTGTCCCCCACCAGGTGAGCGGTCTCCTCAGCCACAGGATGAGGCCGTCGGCCTTGATGATGGAGTCGGACCAGCCTGGGAGTCTAGAGTCCCTGATTCTATGTTCTCCTGGGGAGGCCACGCTAACTCTGGGGAAGGGCGTGGGTGGGGTGTGAGGGGGACAGGTTGGCCAGGCGAGGGCAGAGGCCGGGGCTCTCTGGGAGGGTTGCAGTGCCAGGTGGGAGTGGCGGCCCTAGTCACCTGGAAGATCTTGGACACGTCTTCCGAGTTCCGCTGCTGTGCGACATCGCACAGCTTGGCCGTGATATCGATTCGGCGGCAGATGTCCATGTCCACCTTCATGGCCTTTTCTTGTATCTTTGTGTCCAGGTCTGTCATGGGCTGCAGGGAGGACAGCAGGGGTTACGTGAGCGAGGGATGGAGCAAGCATGGGGTGGGGGATTGCTCCCCGGCCCCTGCTGGACAGAGAGGGTGGGAGACCCTAGGTGTTGAGTGGGAGGCCCCGGAGTCCAAGAGGGGCCTTGAGCTTGTCCTGGGTGTGAAGGGCTGGGCCAGCGCTGCTCGGCTGGGGCTGGGGGTGGAGGGGCCGTGGGAGCCGAAGGCTCTGGCGCCGAGTGGACAATGTGAGACCGTGTGCGCTGGTCTCCCTGGGGCTGGAAAGCATCCTCTCAGCAGACACAGTGTCAGTGTGTATTTTGTTAGAGCAAAGGAAAAACAAAGGCAGCTCCCACCGGTGAAAGACTTCCCTTCTTCTCCTCCCAGCGCGCCCCACCTGTCCCCCACCCGGAGGCGCCTGTCAAGGCAGCTGTCTCTCTCTTCAAGATCCTTCCCATGGCTCACAGCACAGGTCTGCCCAGGACAGGGGGCTCCCCCTGGACCCTGGTGAGGATGAGCCAAATGGTCTCCACCTGGAGCCCCGGGGGGGCTTCTCCAGCCACACCCAGCTTCGTGCCCCGCAGGACCAGAAGCCACGCCAGGCTGGGCCTCCCTTGGTCGGGCTCCTTCTCCTTTCTGGAGTGTCTCTCCCTACACAATGCCCGCTGCTTGAATGTGGCAGGAAACCCGGGTCCCCAGCAGGAAGGAGGCCTTGGCTGCCAACAGCTCCCCTCACCCACAGTTACCCAGAAGGGCTCTGATCACCATCCAAAGGACACATACACTGGCCTCTCTGACTTTACAAAGCAACTCTGCGGAAGGCCACCAGCCTAGGCGGCCTCTCAGGCTGCCCAGAGCCTCCCTCAACCCGTGCCCAGACACCGAGGCCCACGGCCACCACCCGCCGCATCACGGCGAGCTGGGGAGGAGCCGGAGCCGACACACACAGACCCTCAGAGGAGCCCGAGCAGGGCGGGATGGGTTAAGCAGCAGATTAATGCATCTCTACTCAGACCAAGGGAAGCGGGAGTGGGAGGGGGCGGGAGGAGGGCGCCTGGTCTCCGATGCATCGGTCATCCTCACGGTCAAACGCAGCCAGCCAGGACTCTAACTAGAAGCCGAGCTCTGGAGCCTCGGAGTGAATGAAGCATTTTGCATGATAGGAGTGAGGGGAGGTCACGACACCAGGGGGCGGCGGCGGCCAGTGGCACTTACATCACTCATGAGCCCCTTAAACACCACCAGCTCGGCCTTCAGCCTCTCGATTGTCTCGTTCATCTCCTCCTGGATGGCTTCTGCCTCCTGCGCTGCCTGTGGGGGCAGAGACCAGGAGGGTTTAGCGGGCTGGGCACCTGAGGGGGCAGGAGGAGCTGGACCCTGGGCCCAACTAGGCCGGGGGCCTGATGGCTGGGGAAGGGGTGTGCTGAGGACCTCACCTAGCCTGGCTTCCCGCCCCTCAGCTTAAAACACTTCTCAAAGGACTATTAACAGCGTGGAAACACCCGTGGCAGATAGAGAGAAAGCAGGTGACTGCAACAAGTGGTCCCAATAGGTTAAAATACTGGGTCAGTTTGTGGGAAATATTTGCAAATATTTGACCAAGCCTGCTTCTCCAAAACGGCAAGGCCAGGTGTGTCAACCTACCCAAACGTACACACCCAGAGTATGTGTGTGTTTGCACGGAAAAGACAGGAAGGGCGCACACCAGTACATCAAAAGCGGAGGGGCCAAACTGGAGAGAAGTTATATTTGACTCTCTAAGCTTTTCTCTACTTTCCAAATATTTGAGCATGAACACGTTATGTTTGTAAAATAAAAAGCACTTTTGTTATAAAAATGGGGGATGTTCATCCCCTCTCTTCTACGTACTGATATTTTAATCTGTCTCTAGCTTTCTCAGAAGATAAATGTTTTAAATATCAGAAAGCGACTTTAAAAATATTTGAAAAAGTGTTCCATGCCTTCTCGTGGGGGTCACTATCCGTGCACCCATTTGACTGAGAGGAAAAGAGAGGCCAGGAAGGGGAAGCTTGTAGCCTGGGGTACTCAGCAAGCAGATGAGTGCAGGGCCCAGAGCACAGAGCTACTGGGTTAGAATATCGAGGGAGGGCCTCTGGGCCACCATGGAGAGCCCACTAGGGCTCAGAGCCCACCCAGTGATATGCCAGCAGCCTCTCCAAGGCACTCGGCACCTAGTCAGGTGCTGCAAGCTGGAGGAGAGGCGCTGAGACACCATCCAGTCCAAGCCTCAGGTGGGGAGAAGAGGCAGGAGAGGGGAGTCACTAGCCCAAGGTCACCCCTCGAGCCGGGAGAGCACCAGAACTGGGACTCAGGCTTCCCAACTCTTGCGCCTGCACTTTTCTGCAACACTGCGCTGCAGCAGGGGATGCAGAGGAGGCCTCTTGGCTCCATCGAGGAGACCGAGGCAGCAGGAGAGAATGCAGAGTAGGGGCTGTGCCCTCTGGAGACCGTGTCCCCGGCCACATGGTCCTCCCGACAGCCTCCCCTGATCAGGACCTCTGAGCATTCTCACCTCCTTTAGCGTGTCCACCATGGTCTGCAGGTTCATGTTCTTGGCAAGCTCCTCCTCCCATCTGTAAGAGCCAAGAAGGACAGGTGGTCAGAGGGGGCCTCCCATGCCAGTCCTCAGACACAGGACAGGCAGCTGCCCTGGGCTGGGCAAGGAAGGCACAGCAAGCAGTGCATCCATCCCGCATGCCCTCCAGGAGCTCCCAGTCTAGGCGTGGTGAAGGTGGGGCAGGGACAGCCAGGTGGACACACGGCCCTAATTCCAGGAGGCACTGCTGAGCGACGTGCTCCCGGCATGAGCACGGCGCCATGGGAAGATGAGGGTGGGAGAGATCGCCACTCCGCCTCCAAGCAAACTGTATAGTGCTGCACAGATGCCACTGCTCCTGCTGTCGCTGCAAGACGCAGTTTCGAGGCCGGCCCTCTGAGCCAGGCTGCAGCCAGCACCACACTCAGGCCGTTCTTTGCACCCGCAAGGAACACACTTTCACTGCACTAATGATTGCACTCTCAGTCTGTGGTCCTGCAGCCTGCCCTACCCAGCAAAGACAGCTCCTACATATCTATTAGCATCCCTATCTTACAGGCAAGGACCTGGAGGCTCAGAGAGGTTAAACGTCCTGCCCTAAGACACACAGCTAGTGAGTAGGGCTGGACTTCATATCCAAGTCTGCCTTGTTACATTAAAACAAAAATGTAATATTTGTTTTATTATGTTTAATAATATAATAAATATATTTATTCAGCACTTATTTCATGCTGGGCCCTGTTCCAGGGGCTCTACGTGTGTTATCCATGCGTGCACACGCTGGCTGAGGCAGAACGGGAGGTAATGGGAAGAGAAGACCCGCCGGGGCTAACGGTACCCCCAGCAACCGCTGGAGGCTGGATGAGATGATCATATCATCACCGTAACAATTCCAGCTCACCTTAACTGAGTGTTTACTTTGTGCTCGGAACCCATCTACGTGACCTAATTTGATCCTCAGAACGACCCTCCAGCACAGGTGCCTCCATCAGCCCCAGGTTACAGGTGAAGAAAGGGAGGTACAGGCAGGGGCCCAAGGTCAGGGTGAGGACAGGTGGGGCCGGGACTCCAACCTGGGGCCAGAGACTCCAGATTGAGTGGCTGCCACCCTGCTGGGCTCCTCGTGGACAGGGCCCCATCCGAGACTGAACCGGCTCCACACCCAGGCCCCTCCCCCTCCACAGAGGAAGCTGGGGCAGGTTCCTTCCCCCTCTCCATCCTGGGACAGACAGACAGACGAGCTTCTCGCCTTCCTCACCCCACTGCTGCCTCCCTACAAGGCCTCAGAGCAGGCAGGTCTGGAGGCCTTTTAGGATGCTGTCCGGGCCAGCTAAAAATAGGCCAGAGGGGAGGAATGGATAAAGAGTGGGTTACGTCACCAGCTTTTGGAAACAAGAAAACAGATACTGTTTGCACACACAGAGGAAAATTCCTCCACTCTCCCACACAAGAAGAGACGGGCCTGGCCAGGGCTCCCGGATGGCTTGTGTGCGCACATACACACACACACACACACACTCGCCTCTCTCCTGTTCCCTTTACCAGCCCCCACCCAACACTGGCAGCAAGCCTCGATCTGCGGTGGGCCACAGGGTCCCAAACCTAGAGGGCAGTGGGGCTGGGTGGGGGCTCCTGCCAGGGATGAAGGACACAGAGAGAGCTACGGAGGGTCCAACGCAGGCTGGACAACTCACTGAATACACTCACTGTACAAACAGGGAAACCAAGGCCCACAGTGTGCCAGGAATCTGCAAGGTCCCCTGGTATGGCAAAGGCCAGGCCAGGAGGTCATTCCTGGGCCCAATGTGGGGGACAGAAATCCTAGGTGGGGGACATTCACAAGCTACCCTCGCCTCCACCCAGCAGCAGGGGGCATCCAGGACTTCCCTCAAGAGAGGCCAATGCCAGAACACAGGTCCCACGGGGAGTCATCTCTCCTGGCCACGCTGCTCTGAGTAGGGGCGGAGAACTTGATTCCAAGTCCACTAAGCGAAGGGGTGTGAGAAAGGGCCTGGCCTCACCACTGCTTTCACAGAAGGGGGCAGCGAGGGATGAGGACTCGGGCGGCCAGGGGCATCTCAGCCATCACCCCCCTCCCACCCCCCGACACACACCCATTCCCCAGGCTCCTAAAGATGAGGCCCAGCCCCCTCTCACTTGTCATTTCAGCAACCTCCTCAGGAGGAAGGCGGGGCAGGAGTCAACAGACCCATTGTACAGATGGGGAAAATAAGTCCCAGAGAAGGAGAACAACTTTCCCCAAGTCAACCAAGAGCAAGAACCCAAGCTGCGTCTTTGGATCTCCAGACACGTCCGCAGCTGTAGGAGCAGCTCACTGACCAGTGAGCACGCCCGGGTGCCACGCACGCCCTGGGCTCAGTGCCTTGTACACACATCTCATCAGCTTCCACATGGACTATTAACCCTCACGGGTAAAGAATTTTCCCCCAAAGGCTTTTGCAGAGGAGAGAGCTGAGGTTCAGAGAGGTGAGGTAACTGGTCTAAGGTTACGCAGCTAGTAAGCAGGGCTGGGGCTGAAGCCAGGCCGCTGGTAAAACTGCGACAAGCATGGGGATCACCCCGGAATCCTGCTCGGATGCAGCCCTGGATCCTGCAGGGCCGGGGTGGGGCGGACACGCTGCATTTCTAAGGAGCTGCCCTGCAGATGGCACTCTGAGTGGCCCCATACCTCGCTAGCGATTCTAAGCTGCACCCTAGCAGATGAGCTTGCACAAATGATTTCTTGGGCCTTTTGTGTCCAAGGCTGAGCTGGGTGGGCAGCCGGCACTCCTGGTCCCAGAAGGCAGAACACTGACCCCAGCATGTAGATAGCAGCTGGCCTGGCAGACTGAGTCCGCTGCCCGCGCTGACGTACCTCCCAACGGCGTGGGGAGGCCTGGCTCTGCCGACTCCAGTGTTGACTGTGCAGAAAAGCTTTGCCCTTCAGCTGCACCGGCTGGCAGGGTGAGAGGATGACGACGGTGAAGTGCTTCTTAAGTTGCCCCAGACACCCCACATTCACTGCGACTCAGCCCAGGAGGAGGGAGCTCGCAGCTCCATGGAGAACTGGTCCGCCAAGTTGTGGGCTATGAAATTTCAACACCTGCTTCCCAGGCACTGCGCCCTCCCCGGACCTGGGTCAGCCCCCAGGAGTACGTTTTTGGCGGGACGGCTGTTTCAGGCAGAGGGATGGCGAGAGCAAAGAGGGGCAGCGGGAAAGACAGGGAGGAGCCGGCGGACACTAAGAAGGGGACACGCCTACTCTGGGTCAGGGGCTGGTGGTTGTCATGTCCTTTAAAGTTCACTGACCCCACCACACAGCAGAGGGGGTCACACAGAAGAACCCCTCCCTATTGTACGGGGAGGAAAATGAAGGCCCAGGGCACAGAGACAGCTCAAGCCAGGGCCAAGGCTGTCCGAATCTCTTAAGAGCCGCCTCTGCCCACCCCAAGCCAACAGCTGTAAAACTTCCAAATTCTTCAAGTGTCCCATAAGAGAAAGGAGAGGGGGGCACACTTATTGGTCACCTTCTGGGTTGTGTTCACCATGTTAGGCATTCATACACACGTAAAATCCATCACTTAACCCTGCCACTAAGAACTGATCCCACTCGGCAAATGAGAAAACAGAGGCTCCAAAGCACCTCAATTTCCCTGTCCCTCCCTCCCTCACAGGCTTCTGGAATCTTACGCATTCACCCAGGCTAGTCTCAAACGCCACCCCCTCTCTGAGCCCCTGAAGCCACTTCCATGAGTCTCCCCCTGCCCCCAGCTCCAAGCCCCTGCTCGAGGCAGCTGGACCTTGAAACCCCACCCTCCCCAGGTGGCTTGACAGAGATATCTCACCACGCACGGCTCTCACCCCACATACCAGCCACCGTGCCAGAGACAGCGATGGACCACCCTCCACCTTCCCCACCTCCAAAGGGTGCTCAGGCCCTGGCCCCAGGTCTGCTGTGCCCAGATCCTTTCCCTCTCCACCCCGCCTGTGGGCAAACGCCCTACAAGTCTCGTGTGTGCCAGGTCCTCAAATCACTCAGTGCACGATGCTGAGAGTGGCCTCCGAAACAGGCCTGGTAGAGAACCACGGCGAGGAGGGTGATGATAATACCAACGGCGCATCTGACATGGTCTGAGTGCTTCCGATGTGCCGGGCACCGTTCCGAGGGGCTGCACGTGCATAACCTCATTTCAATGGGTCGCACAGTAACCTTAAGGTACATCCGTGTCACTGACGAAGCTCAAGTCCAAAACCACTAGCCAAGATCTCACAGCCAGGAAGGCAGGGCCGTTTCTAATTTACAGGAGAAAACTGATACTCAAAGAATCTCCCGAAGGCTGAAGGGCACCAGGGTTCACCTCGTCCAAACCCCTGAGTGTACAGATAAGGACACCGAGGCCCAGGGTCACGCAGGGAGTGGGAGGCAGGGTGCTCTCTGCCCACGGCCTCAGCCAGAGTTCCGGAGGAGGGAGGAGCAGGAGGGCAGGGAGAATGGGCCCCGGCTCTGCCTCCCCCAGCATCTGCCTGCGCTTCTCGGTGAGAGGGATTGCGGCCCACCACCTCCCAGGGACACTCCAGGAAAACCCTTCCGCCCCCACACTCCCTGAATGTGAAATCAGGTTCCCAGGGAGGAAGGGCCTTCCCAGAAGGGCTGGGAACAACAGCCTTCCCAGAAACCCCTGGGGTGCCACTGGGGTGTGATCCACACATGGGAGCAGGGGTAGGTGCTGGACAAGGGCAAGGGCAGGGCGGGAGGGCCTCCGGACCAACGCAAGGACAAGCAGGGGCTCGGACCACGGGGCCCACGAATCTGGAATGTGGATGTGTGGGCCGGTGGCACAGGGAAGCCCTCCAGCACCCATCTCAGGGGGTCTCAGGCACCCTGTGTCCTGGCCTGTTGGCACATAGAGGAGACAGGGGTGGGATGCCTGTTCTAGGGTGGGAAAGAGGCACAGAGGAGGGGCGCCGTCAAATAAGCCATTAGAGGAGAGGGGTCTGAAGCCGGGGTCCGGCCCTTGCACCAGTCCAGAGAGCTGC